TGAGGTTGACATACAACAAGATGTGTAACTTCGATATTTTTTATATGACACTAACAGTAACTTTAGCAGGTAGAATTACGAACAGAAACAAAACTAGTTTTTTAAAACATGTATTTGTTGTGTAATTTTAGTGTTCACATTGGATAGTTAAACATAACGTCTTGTCTTGCCAGCTCCAACAACATCGGGTCATCAAAGAACTTTGAAATGCTCACGTCTTCCGACAGACCCTGGGAAAAGACAAAAATCATAACCACGTGAAAATAATCATGCACACGTGCACTGCCGGCAGACCCGGAAAAAAACAACTCACTCGCAATATAATTATATATAATCATTGTTTTTCGAACAAATCATGCACATCAGTGCACCACAATCTGAAGTAATGCAGTCTCAACACATGAATAATGTTACTAGAATAAACGCCACACATTTTTTGCGAGCGAGCGCGAGCAGTTCAATATTTCGCGTGTGTTTATAGAAACACGTAGAACATTACGGTATGTGCATTGCCCGTCACATAATTCAGACGACTATTCATTCGCTTCATTCGCCAATCTCAAATTAGGCATCACTCCCTCCCTCCCTCCCCTCTCACCTTCCTCCTCCTGGTCTTGATCATAAACTCTCTGGCCAGATGGGGAGCTGGTTGTGGTTCCAACGGTCTAATAACTATAGTCTTATCCAGAGGATCTCCCGGCACAATCTTCAAAAAAGTAGAAAGAAGGGGAAAAAATTTTGCTGCAATTTCACAGAGTGAATCAATCCATGTGGGAAAAATTTAAAGCAGCTGGACACCAACCAATTAAATTTAAATAGCATATTTCATATTTCATACATACGTAGCATGCGCACTTTACTCTGCAACCTTACTAATAAATGTAAACTATTTGATTGACATTGTTCAAACGTTGATTTATACCGACACCAGAAAAGCCGTCTAACCTGCCAGTGGTGAAATACTGATAGACAGAATGCCTGTCCCTGTGTGTGGGTTCGAAGGTCGGTCTCAAACCCGAAGGAGTCAATGGCAGGCAAGAAGGCCTTGATGGTGTAGAGAGGAGAGCCAGGTACAGGAGCATCCTGAGTGACATGGCCCCTGGGGAATAGTCACACATTACACACTCCACTATATATAGCTATAGTATTACACCCACTTCCTGATTGAAAGCTGGTGAAAATTCCCTGGGACTTCCCCTACTAAGTAACTAACAAAACAGCCAGTAATTCTGCAGGCATGCCTTACCCATATTTTGTCTCTCCTAACACAATACTACACACTAACAAGTGAACTATATGAAAATGCCAGCCCTCCAGAAACAGTGTTTTTAATTCATAATCAGTAGTGCTCCTCTTACCTTCTCCTTGCTAATACTGTGTACACAGAAGACACGCAATCAGCAGGAGCCTGCACCTCCACGTAGTAGTAGGGTTCCATCAGTCTCGGAGTGGCCATCAGAAACGCCGAATACGCGACTCTTCGCGCCGTCGGAATGATCTGCCCGCCTCCGCGATGGATCGGTTCGTTTGCAATCACGGCGTCGAGAATCTTGAACTTTACGTTTCTGATTGGTTCGTCGCAGAGGGGCCCCTCCCTCGTCCCCCATTGGAACCCCTGGACAATTGAGTCTTTTACCGACCCAAGCAGGTTCTTATCCACCTAAAACATGAGCATACTATGGTAGCTTTGACATGAGCATACTATTGGTAACTTTCAGTGCTGCGCATACTTGGAAAGAAGAGAGAAGGAAAACAAAACCAAGTCTAGTTACCCAGTACAAGGATATGTGGCAGTATATAAGGGCTATATTTACAAACTGCTACTACTTAGCTATTTTATTGCATTGGGCCCTATTGTTTAGTTCTATCTTTAGCCCTTATGTGTACATATCGCTACAGTCGCTTTAGAATATAGAGAAAGCCCCCCCCCAAGTTTGATATTAGCTAATAGACAAGCTAAGAGAACACTCTCAGCCAATAGCTCATCTCTCTCGTTCACTCCATGGTTCACCTCGGAAGGAAGGGTATCGTCCACCAGTATGTTAGGTCCCGTGGCGTCTGGACCAAAGGCCCATATGGAGCGGGCAGCCAGGAGGTCCCAGTCATACTTGGTCTGAAAAAACTCACCAATCTTCTTCCTACAAACAACAGCAGCAGACACACTTACAAATTAACAGTCTTCTTACGGGAGAAAATGTTTTTCTCTAAGTAAGCCCTTATACTTGTGAGTTGGGTTGAAGCTGTATATAGCACCCGCGAAATTTGCTTGTGTAAGGTTATGATTAAATCCGCGAAGTTTTCAGTTATAATCTCACTTTGTCCAGCCGATCTGAACCACCTCGTTCTCAATATCTTCTGCCAACCCTTTCTCCAGAGGCTCTGCTATCATTGTCAGCTTGTTCCTAAAATTTTAGCAGAACACCCACAAAATTTTCAATACACTCCAAAATTTTGAGTGGGTTTGCACGGTACTTTTTGTTGGGTGTTTCGGCAAAACATTTGAGAGAAGAGGTCTCCACAACTGTCTCACAGAACGCCACTACAGGATCAGCCACCTTGATCTCTGAACAAAGACAAAAATTTTGCCGGCAGTGAAAAATTTTTATGCCCATCCACTAAAATTTTAACGGTTACCTATTTCGGAGTACATTTTTCGTAGGTCGTGCATGACACAGTCGAGATAGAGCTCTCCAGTTCCATACACCACATGCTCCCCCGATTCTTCCACCTGCAGTATTGACAATAGTGCCGTAATCTCTTTTGCTTAGAGAGAGTTGAAAACCCAACGGAAGGAGAGGAAAAATAACTTAGCAAAGAGAATGTGTGAAGTTACACTAACAGTCTGGTGTGTTGTACATATGAACTATTACTATAATTATATTTCCCAGCAAAAAGTTTTTGCCCCGCAATTTTATCTTCAAAATAAATACTCTGGATGGAACGGAAGAAAGATGGTATACCTTGGTGACAAGGAGAGGGTAGGACTTGTTGACTTTTCTCAAACCGTCCAACATCTTTGGGAGCTCAGAGGGGTTAATTGGCTCCACGGCTATCTTTATCACCGACTGCGTGTTGAACTTGAGTGGACGAAATATCTGTGCCTGTAACAGATCCACCGCGCATAGTAGATGAAACTAAAAGTGTATTGTCATAATCCTGAACCATGCTCATTCCTAATAAAGAAGGCAGGGATCCTCCGAGATAGGGACGACCTCTCTACAAAGGACACTTGTTTCAACCCCATTCTAATACTTCAGTGTATTATTTGACCTCCCCTTGCTATTCTAACACTACACAAGTTACTTAGCAGTATACACATATTGAAAGTTAAAGCTAACATCTTCGCAGCCGCTCATCTGAGTGATGGTGGCTGTCTTGGTGATGGTCTGGGCGATTCCCTCCACTAGAATCCAGTTACCAGCCGGGACCCTATTCAGCTCGACCGTATAGCGAGCCTCGGCTATCCACAGCCGCCCAACCTGAAATTGAAAGTCAACAACAAACATCTCACGGACACATACAGAGCTAATAGGGAAAATAATCATCCCTTTTTTCACCAGATTTGGGTTACGGGACTCGTATTCACAACTTGGAACTTGTCAAGAATGCACCAATACCCAACAACTACTATGAGAATGCGATGTACTACTCAACAACAACTAGCCTATACGCCCACTTCCTGATTGAATTCACAACTTGGAACTTGTCAAGAATGCACCAATACCCAACAACTACTATGAGAATGCGATGTACTACTCAACAACAACGTAGCCTGAGTTAACTTGCACACACGAGGTCATCCCTCACCTGAGCAATCTTGGAATCTTCTTCGTCTTCGAGTGTGTAGTTTTCTCCCAGCACTCTGACTTGCTGGCCAGCGTACACTGGAAGGGGGGGTGGGGCATTATGTCAAACGAGATGCGGTTTTATTTATGTATGGTGGCTCTGTCGGGAACTGATTCTAAATACGCACGCACGAAAAATATTCAACTGCTCGCACTCGCTCGCCAACAATGTATTGGGATTCCTCTAGTTGCAAGATAGCTCAGACAAAGTGACTCCTATATACAGCTTCAACCTCGTGATAGGGGAGAGCTCCAAAAGGAATGTGGCGGGACAAATCACTCCACACTCTATATAGAACGAGAGTACTACAAAAGGAAGAGAGCACAAGGAAAAGAGCTGGAGATAGATTGCTAAGGAAAAGGAAAAGAGCTGGAGATGGGACAGTAGCTATGTAATAGTGAGAAAGTGCGACACAAGGAAAGAGTCATAGTCCCCTTACTCCATTTCCTCAGCTAAGGGCTCCCTTTCCTGGCCACACACAGATCCCTTATAGGCCATCATGGAAATTCTAGCAATGTATCATCAATCTTCAAAATGGCTTCAGAGAAGCCTAGCAAGACTATCGGATTTCTGCCGCCAGAAAAGGGAGCCCTGAGCCACAGGAGAGACCCGAGGACGGAAATATTTCCTTAGAGCAATCACATCTTACGCCTCTCTCTTCTCCTTTAAACACTCTCTTCCTTTTTAGCGGGAGTAAGGGGGGAGGTGACAGACTTACAGGTGCCGCTGATGACTCGACCAAAAGCATGGAACATGGTCAAGTCTTGGTTGGGGAACAGCTTGGTCACATGGAGCATCAAAGGACCCTGTAAAATTTTTATTGAGCATAATATATACATTTTGACCGCTTCAGGACTAAAATTTTGAACGGGTAAACTAGTCGAGCATAAAAAAAAATTAAGTGATCAAAAGCCAAAGAGAACATAAAAATACACTTGTACTATGAGAACACGTAAAATTTTGACTGGGTGCATACCTCAGGGTCACACGAGGTCATGGCCTCTGCTAGCTGGTCGTCAAGGGGACCGGTATACGTTGATTGAACTTTGACCTCTGCGGCATCAACGGGAGACGGTATGTGCTGCACACACATGTCCACAAAACCTGTCAACATGGGCACGAAAAATTTGCGATTTCCACATGGTTTTTATAAGTGAAGCACAAAAAAACACTGACAGTTGAAGTCTCCGAGAAATCTTTGACAGACAAGTCTGAGTAGAGGGCGAATGTTGAGCTGGAGTTCTGTTTTAGAGAGATTGACACCTGGGAGGTGGAGGGAGAGGAGGGAGATGGTTAGAAGACGAGATTGAGAATGGAGAGAAAGAGAATGAAGAGGAGAGAGGGAAAGGGAAGAGGGGGGAGATGACCAGATGAGGAGAAAGAGAATAGAAAGGAGAGAGGGAAGAGGAGAGGGGGGAGAAGAAGGAGATGGCCAGATGAGGAGAAAGGGGAGAGGGAAGGAGAGAGGGGGGACAAACCGAGCTCGTCCAGAACTTGCGGTAGAGTAGTGTCCACATCCCCGACTGTCTGGGCCACCAACTGAAGAAAGAGGAATCAACACTCGATTCCTTTCTCACAATCAGCAAGACTTTCTTCGTTTAGAGTTTCATATTCATACTTACGTGTAGAAAATACCACGTGATGCCAAGAGAAAAAGATGGGGAGCTCTGGACAGCTGTTTCGGGCTTGTTGGCCCTCATCAGCAGAGCATACCGCAGCAACTTCTCTCTCTGGCACCACGAGTTTATAAAGGCTGCCATGAGCGCCACACATGTACAGTACATATTGTGCAGTGTTTGGATGGCGGCTCTAACACATATATATTATACAGTGTATTAATGCGCGGAACTATGTTCGGATTGACTGCGCAAAGTGAAAATCTGAGATTTGTGAAAGAAAATCAGTCGATGTTTGAATCCACACTTTCACATAAAACAAACACATGCACAATATAGCACACCTTGTAGAGAGGCTGCAGAATGAACTCGAGGAAGCTTCGCTGTGCATCGGGAGACGTGGTCTTCTTCGAAAACGTCCGCCTACAGAAATAAAAACAGCCGGAGTTTACTTTAAACTGTAAATCTAGAAGAGTAGGGGTATGGGTGTGTGAAATTATGCGAAAGTCCAGCTCCCAGGCGCAGCGAACCTACAACAACACACTGGGACACTATTGAGCGATCTATGCCAAATATGAAAAAACAAAAAGTTGATCCGTAAAATTAGTCTGTATGGGTGCATAATTATGCGAATATAACAAAGTTGATAAAAACAACACTGACGTGGTTTTGTTGAAGAAGATGTCCCCCCAGAGCCTCTTGGAGAAGTCGTGAGCTGAAAATCCCCCAAAGCTCTCGGAGTAGATGAGGGAGAATGAGTAGAGAGTGAAGGCAAATCCAAACTGGGAGGAGGCGAAACAGACGTTTCCCAGCAGGGGAGACATAACTGGTGCCTCTTCCGAGTCTGAGTAGATACTGAGAGAGAGAGAGAGAGAGAGAATGTTTCAGACAGAGAGAGAGAGAGAGAGAGAGATTCAGAAAGAGAGAGAGAGAGAGAGAGATTCAGAGAGAAAGAGAGAGAGAGAATGTTTCAGAGAGAGAGAGAGAGAGAGATAAAATGTGCAAAATTTTGTAGCCCACTGCAAAATTTTGAGCTCACCTCAGAAGGCTGTTGACTTCATCGATGGTATGTTTGAGTTTGAAGTAGGCATCAGATGGAGGGAGTTTCAGCTCCAGAATCAATCTGTCAATCTGTAAACAACAACAACAACAATCTTATCTATTGGTATACAACAACAAAGATACACGGATCTCTAAACGACAACATATCAAACATATGTATTGGTAAACAACAACAAACAATCTTTATAATCCATTTAGACTAACTGTACTGTATCTATTAGCATGTTGGCATATAATTATACTGAAAGTGAAGGTCCACCTTGTTGAGACAGAGTGTAATGTTGAGTTTCTCTTGCAGAGCATGTTTCACGATTCTCTCCGTGTTCAGCATGACACCTTCAGAGACGTCCACCACTATCATCACTCCGTCGCTCAGTCGGAACGCCGCCGTCAGCTCGTCAGAGAAATTCACATGACCTGGAATGTGGGAGTGAAGGGGTTAAAAAGTTGAAGTCATAATGACCTGACAAACTAGGAGAAAGACAGTGGGAAGGCGTAGATGGGAGCAACCTGGTGCCTCGCGTCATGGGCGGTCCGTGGCACCCTGGGCCGCGGTGGGAAGTGGGTGCGAAAGAAGGAGGTGAAGGGAGAGAGAGAGAAGGAAGGAAAGAGGAAGGTTATAAACCTGGAGTGTCAAAGATATTGACGAGGTAAGACTTTTCCTTAGAGTCTGGCAGAACTAGAGACACTGGCGTTGCCTTTATACTCACTCCCCTCTCTTGCTCTGTGACCAGAGTGTCCGTGTATCGCAACTACAGAGAGAGAGAGAGAGAGAGGAGAGAGAGAGAGAACTGCAAATTTAACAACAGTTTGTGGGATATGTTGAGACTTACCGGGTGTTCTCCACTGACTACAAAGTCAGGGTGTGTCTGCTCCAGAAGACAGTCCACGAAACTGGTCTAAAACATAATTTAGCCAGTCAAACAAGATTCAAATCATAATTCGCAAGTAAAACAAGCTAGTCAAATGAGCAATTTGGCTCAGCCAACCTTTCCGCTGTGGAGGTGTCCGGCGATGCACACGTTTCGAATCAATTCCCGTTTGTCCATCAGATCTGACAGAAACCTACATGAGAACCCACACAAAATGGACTTCACTCAGATTGAAACTGAAAGCTACACACTCACTCAATGTCGTAGATTGTATTGGGGAGCTCTTGCTCGCGATACGAGAAACTCTTCTTCTTCACCGGAGCGACAATTGGCTCCGTCAGTGGCTGAGTGTCCTCCTCTTGAACTATAGTCTGAGGAGAGGTGCGCTCTAATTGGAGGGGGCAACCGTATTAGTCTCAGAGGTATTATTACCTCAACATCAGGTCCATAGACTTCCTCAGCTGTGGGATAGTATTTCTTGTCTTCATGGAGGACAACTGCCATCTCCTCTCCCTCTTCTCCTCTCTCTGCAACCTCCATTCCTTCCTCCCCCTCTCCATCATCGCTTCCCTCCTGCAGAAATATACCACCGGCATTATCGTCTGCAGGTGTTTCTAATTGATGCGCACCTCTCGTTCTTCTTCCTCTTCCTCCCCTTTCTCGCTCTCGTCGCTCTCTATGTCTGGTCCGATGTAGTTTCCGAACTCGTCGTACATGTCTCCGGCGTCCATGGCTGCCTTGGAAGTCCAGGGGAAGGTTGGGGTAGAAGAGCCCGCGTGGAAATGGTGCGCACTATTCAGAATACGCCGTTTACGTGACGTCACATGTGTGTTGCTGCTGAATCAGCACAAACCGTCTCTGCTCTTGCCGCCCTTAGCCGCTCCCCAGGTGGCTTTTAGACAGTTATACATGCCTCTGGCTTTCTCCTGACGTTACGTGAAGACTTCCCATATCCCCCACAGGAGACATGCAGCTCGCCAAACTGACGGACGAGGAAAAACTGAAGATCAGCCGAAAATACTTCATCATCGGTTGTTTCTTGCTCCCGATGGTGTGGCTGGTCAACTCCGTGTGGTTCTTCAGAGAGGCGTTCTTCAGGAAAGACAAAGACAGGTCCAGACAGCTACAGAAATACGTGGGAGGCTCGATGGCAGGTTTTCTGGTGTGGCTAGTGGTGATAGTGGTGTGGGTGTCGGTCTATCAGACCCAGAGAGCCAACTGGGATGCCATCGGAGACTATATATCATTTACTGTACCCCTCGGTAGAGCTTAATTCAGTCTCTACGTTCCAGTATTTTATTATGTCATTGTGTTCCACAGTAACATACAGGATTCTCATAGAAAAATATAAGGATTTGCGGCAATTACAATAATTATTAATCAACACTAAAAATGTACCTTACAATAAAAAATGGAATTTGGAAAATAGCTAAAATACAAGAGTACCATCAAAAATACTAATGTACAAAAGGAGTCCACAAAAATACGTCTTTTCTAGAGTCAAAAAAATAATGTTCACTTGAGACACTGTTTCACGTGGTCCCTAAACAGCTCCTCTGCCTTGTCGAAGAAAAACACCGCTCCTCTGAGACTGACGCTCATGTGAGGACACTGCCGCGTCGTCTTAGACCCCAGTTTGAACAGCATCTTGTCGCTGGCCTGGAGCCTATGGTGAACCAGTAGAATCATCGTCATGAGATCCATCTTGCGAGCGAGATTGTCGAATGCGAGGCAGATTTCGGTGATGTAAAACGAACCGATGTTGTATTTGTCGTAGCTCTGCTCGGTGGACAGGTCGATACCCCCGCCCTCAGGTTGCGCCTTGTTCGGGTCGAAACGAAACGCCTTTGTCATGGGCGCCGTCGAATACGAGATGAAGAAATCGGATTCGTGCGGAAGTCGAGGTGCACCGCTGTCGTCTGCTGCAATTCTCCCGTATTGCTCCCCGCGACAAGCCTGCACGAAGAACATCTTTGGCTTTCCCTTCAGGTGATCGCAGACCGTCGTCCCCAAGTACTTGTAGGCTGTCTCCTGCAGATCCATGGTACCCCTATCGCTTCCATATATAACGTCGGTGTTTTTCGCCATATCCCAATCCCCGTGAGAAGAAACTACGCATATAAAGCTGTCGTCGCCTTTCTCGACGTGGAGCGACTTATCACTGCCCGTGTTTTTCCCGACAGCCTCAATGAGTTGCTCCATTTGCTCTGCCGATTGGTCTCTGCGGAGAACGACGCGATACCCGAGGGCAGTGAGGCTTTTGAGCAAGCGTTGCTCGTCGACTTGAGCGCACAAACGCTGGGGAAGCCCCTTGAATCTCTCGTTTGCGATTACTAGAGCAACTCCGTGTGACTTGCCCCCTTTGTTGCGGCGGTAGACGATGAAATTATTGATTGTGAATTGCCCGCCGTCGTCTGCGATGCTAGCTGTCGGTATTTCAGGCTGTAGGTTGGAGAAGGCGGAGTCTGGTGGTGTAGGGTGGGCGGAGTCAACTCCCATGGCTCCTCCCCCTGAAACTGTTGTAAATACTTTATTTATTGTTAGGCAGCGGCGCCAATAATCTACTTTGGATCAAATTATTTCAATACCCCACAGAGTCAAATACTTTATTGTTAGGCAGCGGCGCCAATATTCTACTTGTTGGATCGAATTATTTCAGGTTATGAGTTGAAGCACAGGTGTGCCCTAAAATTCTCAGCAATTCACTAACAGTGTAATACACTGCTTAAACTGCACAATAATATATTGGCTTAAGGCTTAGGCACAGATGTGTCTTGAGTTGACTGACAGTATGCATAGTACAGTGCTCTAATAAACTGCACAAACATGTTTACCTTTTTGGCTTAGAATTCACTAAAACACGTTAACTTTCATGGCTTGGGGCACAGATGTGCCTGAATTCATTAGCACAAACTGCAAGATAAACAAACAATATTCTGTTACAGTACCTTGTTGCCCAGTAGCCGGCGTGGTGCTAGTGCCATTAGTTGAGGTGGTGGTGGATGACGGCTCGCTTTCCATTGGTTCTGGTTCACCCTCAGTGGCTCCTAAAAGAAAGAGAGACGAGAGAGGAGAGGGGGAGGGGGTGGGTAAAGGTATTATAGACCAGGGTAAAAACCTCAACAAGGAAATAAGTATAATATATTACAGAAGAATGAGGAAACATTATTAGGAATACTATATTAGGAATACTATAAGGAAATAAGTATTATATATTACAGAAGAATGAGGAATTATTAGTAATACTATAATATAAGGAATACTATAAGGAAATAAGTATTATAATTATATTACAGAAGAATGAGGAATTATTAGTAATACTATACCTCCACAAATGATTGACGCGTATGTGGAATGTACATAATATGAATGCCTTGGTGTTAAACTAAAGCCAATGCAACTCCATTCTTGCCGAGCACTTGGAACAAGTCCTCCTAGCATGCCATTCGTACGTGATTTTCATGCACACATAGTGTTGACTATTATAGCATCACGACATCCAACTTGCCGTCTCGATAGCTAGCTCACCAGTACCTACCAGTGGAGTGTTCTTTGGCCAGCTCAGCAGCAAGTGCGGGGTTCTGTCCTCCGTACGAGGCAGCCACCGCCTCCACCAACTGGCTCCAACAAGGAAAAGGGGGAGACCCATCCTTTATCCAAGTCTTAATCATCCCCTGCAGTTTTGTGAGAAAGACACACAAACTAACATTATAGTATACTGATTTTCTCTTTCGCTTCACCTTCTTTACAACACTTCTGGAGAAATCAAACATGCAGAACCACCAAAAGTTGTTACTAACTTTTGTGACGGTCAACTTCCCTAATCTGGCACCAATGTGAACAGAAGAAAAAGTACATACACACTGAAAGTCCTTACAATGGTCTGATCTTCGGGGGCGCCCTGGATCTGGTCCAGAGTAGAGGTGGGGATCTCCAGCCCGGCTCCAATCTCGTACCAGAGTGGCCACACGTCCTCCAGAGCCAGTGCCACCTGATCTTCGTCCCCCTTCTCTGCAGACAGATTTTTTCTTTGTGAAATTTGTGCTCCAATGATTTAAAGCCCACACTTGCAAGCATTATACATGCAGAATTGTTGAAATAATTGTTTCGACTTGCGTACTTACTGAAAGGGGTTGTGTGAACATTGGAGAACTTGGGCTCAGGAGCGGAACTGTGGAAACCTGTTGTTAAAAAAACACTCGCACGCGCCCGCTACAAAAACAAGATCTATTTACTTTTGTGATTCTCTGCAATAATCCTGGCCTCGGCCGGGTCTTTCCCGCCGATTCGATGACACACTGCCCACACCAAATTCCACCAGGAAGGGTGGGGGTTGTTCCCAGCAATGGTGTATGGCTCTTTGGTTGGGTTATAGTTGCCTCTCAGCCACGTGTCGATCACCGCGATTGCACACCGAGTTCCCGAGGCTCCGTGGGCCTTTTCAATGACTTCAAGCCGGTCGGAGCCGAGACTGAGCGCCCGGCCAATGTGTATGATGCGCGCAGTTAGGTTTTCGAGAGCTCTACGGACGGCCAGTGCGTCTTTCACGGCTGCAAGTGAAAACGCAGCAACACTAGTGAGCCACCAATGAAGTTTTATGTCATGTGTGCAGAGCAGGCTACTGCTGTACGCTGTTAGATTGTCGTCAACACCCACTTACTGAGCTTGTCCTTGCTGACGTTCGGATACTCGGCGAAGATCGCCGCCGAAGGATGAGCTGTGGGGCCAGAGAAATGACGGAGTCAAGGGTAAGAAATATTTTGCAGGACTTACTCTGCGGCATGGTGGCGCCGGAGACTCGCTCACAACAGCTAAGCTAGCTAGCTTAGCTGAAACGCTCTAAGGTTCAACAGTACGCATTCGCGCATCAGTTTGGTGGGCGTGGTTACCCTACGTTATACGCATGCGTCGTTACACGTGTGTCGTTTCTTGGCGATGGTGTGAAGGAATTCTTCATTTTCTAGCCTGCGTCTAGGTTTTCAAGGGCCTGTGGTACCCCAGGTTAGTTATAGCCTGCGAAATGTGTGCGAAAAATCCTTCTCCCTTTCTCAGGACATCATTTCTTCGTGCAAGGAAAGGGGTTCTACCAAGCGAACGCAACGGTTGATTCTGCGCAGGAAATCTCTTTGTTCAAGAAACAACACCAAGTGCCAGTTGCCCAGGGTCCAAGAAAAGTGGTTCTACTGTCCCTACAGAATTGGAGATGTGTAAATCTCATAGAAGTTATTGAACATAGTATGTATAGCTTCACTTCTGCAAACCGATCACTTTTTCACTTGTGTTGTAACAATAATGTAATCACAAAGTACACTATAAATGAGATTATTAAAAATATTAAAAATCTGATGAGAGAGGCTGATGATATAGCAATCATATAATCTTCGTTGTATGGCTCGGAGCATTAGGGGGTGAATACAGAGGTAGGTGAAGAACACAAGGCAAAGTGATACACAACACTGTCATCCTCATAGTGAAGATGGATCAGAAGTTAACTTGATATTACTGCATACTAGTAAAGTAAAACTGGTGGCTGTCGAATTTTTTAAACCTCAAGGCTATATCAGAGAGGGCCACTAGTCAGTACAAAAACTTGTGTTTCAGCAGGTCGCTGGCTGAAGGTCTTTCCTGTGGGTCTAGTCTCAGACACCCTGAGACAAATCCCACCAGGTGGTTGACTCCCGACAGCTTGGCTCTCAGTAGTGGCAGCTGAGGGAGAAGACAGAGTGACACTAGAGCTATGCAAAGCTAGAGAAGTAGCAGCAAAGCTAGCAGAGGAGGTTTTCTCATAGAGAGTCTGTGGAAGATATTGGTACGGTCCAGCCCTGGGCTCTTCCCTATCAAGAGTATCTTAGCATTAGTGCTAATTGGAGTATCTAAACCAAAGGTTGTAGCAAAGATACCCAAATGCATGCCAGGATAAGAAGAAACCACCCACTAGTAGTAAGGAATGCAACCAACCTTGAGTATTTTCTCCACTAGAGGGTCTTCTACCAACTCCTGCATATTTCTATGTCTTCCTTCCACATTTCTCTTGGTTTGGTGGTACTTCAGTTGCAATATGGCATTCTGCAGTTGTATAGAAGCAAGTGGTAAAAGTGCATGATACCAGCAGTACAAATTGGCCAGGTGAAACTTGCTATAAATAAATAAGGAGGGTGCAATCCCTGGGTATTCCCCGCATCATTCACAGGCATATACACAGAACAATGTTGGTTAACCAGCCCTGGCACATCCTGGAGATACACTTCCGCTCAAAAGTGTTTATATAGGCAAATTTCTATACTAGCCACTAATACACCTGGAGCCTGCTATATAAACAGCAGGGGCAACCCCAGTACTCCATCACTACAGGCTATCATGAAGATGTATGCTAAAGCATATTATAATATTAGCTCTTGCCTCCCTTACAAGAAACAAGTTTCATTAAACATGAACCTGTCTCTGTGACCCTGGCCCATCTTCCCCGAGGAAGAGTCTAAGCATAAGGACTCCGAGACTCCAGATATCAGTCTGAGGAGTGAGCTGTGGGTCAATGGAGTCACGGTGACTGGCCACCACCAGCTGAGACCCCTCGGGACTACGGAACCCCTGGGTCCCCACAGGGGGGAGGTAGAACACCTGAGATTGCGTGTGCATGGACAGCATTGTATGTATAATATATCAACATTATGATGCAATAGAAACTGCAAAAAAAAATTTAGGACCTGCTTGGCATGAAAATTATACACTTAGCTACATACTATATAGTACGCCGGGACATTATCAAATAAAAACCAACCAGATTTTTTTCGTAAAAGAATTGCATGAGGTATATTGCATTCATAAGCCCATTATTTAGCATATAAGCAAATTCTTTCTTTATTACGCACATAACTTCTAAAGCGGAAAAACAATAAAACCAACTATCTAACCTGATTGGTTGATGAGATTGGTAGCATCTTATCTTCTTCGTCCATCTCCACGGCTGCGTCGAAGTCGCACACGCAGACAGTGTACTTGTGAGGACAAGTACACCAGAGTAGATTCTCGTGTTGACAATGGAACCGAACAAGAATGTTGCTAGCTTTCACGTCACGATGTACGACGTGCAGACTGTGCATGTAGGCGATGCCCTTCAGGACTTCGGCAAGGAGGTAGCGCATGTTCCCGAGAGCTAGACCGAATTTCCTCGGGTCTTCGGAGTTCTTCTCCTTGAGAGTAGCCAGAGTCAGCTCAGGATGGTCAGAGAGCATTCTGGCTGCATCTCCTGTGAGGGGAGGGAGAACAGACACGGTTGACATGGTAATAGGGCGGTAGACATGGTAACTGGTAAACAAGGTAACAGGGCGTGCAGGTGTGCAGAGCTTATAAGTCATCCTATTACCCAATAAGTACACAAGGCAATGAGCTACTCAAATTGTGACACATGCCTTGGCACATGACCATGCACTAACACTTCAGTGCATGCACAGTAAAGTCAACACATGATGTGATAAGCAAGTGGCAGATGTCCATTGCCTTTAATGTTATGCAAGAAGCAGTAACTTTGTGTAATGAGATTGCAAACTGGCACATGATCAGCACAGTAGTACAACCATCAACTCCCCACTGCATAGGGATCAACACTTGACGTGATAAGCAAGCATCAACTCATCTTTGGTGTTGTGCAATAGAGCTGCAATGTTGTGTAAGGCATCTTCGAAGATGGCAAACTGCTTATGCTATAATGTGTGTCCTTGAATGTTGTGTCTTCCCCATGCCAAGTGAAGACACCAAATTAGGGTCCATTTGGCACGCAGACTCACCGCTCATTCTTGGCAGCATGTGGTAGCAGTAGAACCTTCTCCTGTGCGACACCTCACCCACCATCAGCGCAAGTAGCGGCACGATGTTGGCGTGGTTCAATCTGAGGATTATGTTGTATTCTCGATTGCGAAACAGGGTCTTCTTGGCCACGAGAGAGTAGCCAAAGTATTCCGTGGCGAAAATCTGCCCGTTGCCCCCCCTCCGAATCTGTTTGTCCTCTTCTGGCAGCGGATAGGTCTTGTGTTTCTGGAACACATCTGGTATGGTCTGTGGGGGAAAATATTTGGGCTGTAGTACAAATTCTTGTAACCTTACACAATTCTAGGGTAGGAACAACTAAAGAATGCTCTTTTGTTTGTCTTGGTACTAAGCCAGCAGGAGTGGTATATACTGGGAATTTGATAGCAATGCAGCCGTTGCACATTGCACAGCAACAGCTTACACAAACACAACTATCACGTGTATATATAGCTAATACACACTGACTCAGCGACCAGCTCATGAATATACTATACACAACTACTCCACATCTCTAGGACCTCTCTGCCCCTATAAAAGGGTTAGTTCAGCTTACAGAGCTAAGCGAGATAACAGCTAACTCTAGGGGTGTTTACAGCTAAGTATAGGAGTGCTCACTGAATGCATGATCATCCCTGGTCGCCACGTAATCTTCTCGGAAGACTCTGCCTGCGCAAGAGCTGGACTGTTGTACGGCAGAATATCCTGATCTTGGAAATGCTTGTGCGACGGGGCCACCTGCGCCGCCGTTGCCGGGATATCGCCGTCGTTGTTGTGAACCCTTGACCCCGACACCTCCGCCCCCTGCCGAACGTTCCCCTTGTCCGCCTCCATCTTTGATTTGCTCTTTGGTAGCGGGAGCCCGTGAGGCACCATTGTCGACTTCCCGTGCTCTTTCTCTGCGACCGGAACGCACTCGGTAAACCCCACGGAATCTTCCAGAACACTTTCTATGTTTGCTTCCATTGCGATCCGACCGGATGTCGAAGGCGAATCTTTTTCCCCGGACATGACGAGGCGACAGGGCGGACTGCCGCCGGGCGGCTGGAAGGTGATGCTTTTAACGCTGGGCCGGTTGAGGACGATCATCTCCATGTAGCAACTCTTGTGTTTCTGCTCCATGTGACGTCGGCTGGTGACATCCTGGTCTCCTTCGGCTGCTTTGGCTTTCTTGCTTTTCGATCCCAGCTGGACCATGTGAATGGGGTGTATAGGCTCAAAGACTACCTCTGTCGCCAGGGTTTTTTCGACGCAGTCGCACGCTATGAGCGACGCATATGCTGGGTCTGTAGCGTCAGATCTTACAGGGACTGGGCTGTAGAGTTGGGTGACTCGGTGCAGGGTTTCCCTCTGTCCGGTACAAATCATGGCGAGTTTGAAATACATTTCCCTCTCCTCCTCGTTCGTCGCCCGCTTCAACATTTCGGTTGCTCTTCCCGTTTTTGCTGGGGTCTTTGGTTCAAATATAGCCCCGAGAGTGAACGACTGTGACATACCGGGTTGTACTTTCACTTCAATGCTTACTGAAGTATCGGGGATCATTGTTATCGGGAAGACCAGGGAGTCTGTTTTTCCGCGGGCATTTTCATTCGGTATAATGATCTCCCACAGATTGATCCCTGACTGAAGTATTACAAAGATCATTTGGGCCGTCATTCTTGCGTCGTCTAAAGCTCGCACGTCGGGGAAGTTTATGTTCATTAAAGGAGTAAACTGCTGTGTGTAGTGCTTTACGAGCGTTGTATCATGTGCCTCGAATAGACAACCCACGATCAATATCTGCAGCTCAAGGCGAAATTCGGCTTTCTTTTCGATGATGTGTGCAAGAGATTCGATCATTGGAGCGAGGATTATTTTAGATGGATTAAGGAACTCTTCGGTCTCGAGTCTGGTGAGCCCAAAATGGAAGAGGGCAACGTTTAAAAACGAGTCTACGTTCTTTTGGAATTGCTCGTTGTAGAAGGAAATTTGGTGGTTTTGTGGTTGAGAAGAAATGTGGAAAGCGGCCAGGAACTCTTGAATAACTGGGTGGATAAAACTGCGTACTGTGTTGCCTTTAGATTGAATGAGACCGTAATTTTTTACCTCGTCCAACGATGAAAACCCATTCTGGAGGTTTACAGCATTTACCTCAATCTGTAGAAGTGAAAACGGTTCATCTTTTTTGCTTGCTCTGTGCAGGATGCCCTCGAACGCGATTCGGCAAATGTGCAGAAAATGCTCTGCTTCTTCTTTCGGTAGTTTGTACAACGATTTCTCCTTTAGCTGCACAAGCTCCATTTTCATCCAGGCCAGCACCATTCTATGGACCAGTGAGGTCTCTGTATCTTTAATACAGCGGCTGTCGCGGGAATATATGTCACATAAGATGACTGCCATTCTTGGGATAATGCACAGAGACTTGATTATGTGGTGCATGCTTAGGTAGATCTCAAGCGGTTGAGTTCTGCTACCTTTGTGGGCAGTGAAAAGCTGATGTTTCACAAACTGAAGCGCCGTTCCCGCGCTATCAAACCCGCCCAATCTGATGTGATGTCGATAGAGTAATGACACAGGCGGTTCATGTCTAGAGAGCAATATTTTCCCGCCAGGCTGTCTAAGGAGCCACTGCAGAGCGCTAGCGTCCGTCTCGACCACGTTGTCGAAAACGAACACATTATTCTCCGGCCTCGTAGACTGACTTTGCAAAAAGTTTGCCTCTTCGCTTGGTTCGAGTACACGTTGCCTTATTAGGTGCTTCGCGAGGCCTTCAATAGCAGAGAGAACTTCATCGCGATCATTTTCCACTTTACGACAATCTACGCGAAAGCAATTTCCGCTTGTTTTGAACTTGCTGTATGCGAGGCAAAGAAATGCGAGGGTAGATTTTTCCACAGCCTGCAGGACCAGTCACATATACGCAGAGCCCCTCCCCCACCAACCGTCCCACCAGGGCAGGCAAATGTCCATCGGTAGCGGCGGCAGGGGAGGGCAAATCCGACGAAATAGTATGCGAAAACCACTCAAGATCAGTGGCTGGGTTCTGAGTTTCAGTCTCTCTCTCAGAGCCAGCCGACATCTAATTCTCCATATACAGTTTATCTGCAAGACAAACAATAGATCGTGAGTGTCACGAGCAGGAGAAATAACTTACAGGTTCGGCCTTCGAGAAACTCAGCCAAGCTGGGCTGTACTACACTGGCTCTTTCGGATAGACCCATTGTTTATATCTGCATGACGTAACCACTACAAAACCACACCATTTTAAGGCAGGCGGTTACGTAGAGTGGATCCGCGCCGAGCGCACGCACGCGATTCAGCATTGCTTGCTTAAGTAAGTTTGTTTAGCTACACAGAAAGGTGGTGGATCCAACATGTAGGTACTAGGTACTTCAACTTGATACCAACCATAGAAACAGCCCGTTTTTATTTATAGTGGGTTATGAGTAATGCAGTTTTGTACAGTGTGACCCACAGGATTTACATCGGTAAATACATGGAAAGATTGGGAATGCAGCTGCCCTCCATACAAAGTAGGCCAGCCTGCAGATAATGAGACTCTATGTAGTACTACTACACAGAAAACACACACCTGGTTCATTGGGGTGTGTTTTATGTTCCTGTGGGATGTAGGGCAAGCAAGGTTGGCTCACCACTGCAAGTATTTCCCACACAAACTACAACTTTTGCTTCCTTTTTCACACGAGGAGTTGAATGAAAGACACACAAGTCTAATGCTATATACACTACACCAACTACCTGCCAATACCTATTCACTCATTGTTGTGCACCAGGCAGGACCCTTATTGGGCAGCTGTCTCAATTGTCACCTATTCAAGCCCCCCTTTGTACCTTTACACAATGCTCCTTTATATAGTCATTATCAATGTGTGGTAGGATAGTGCAATCGTATTTCTGTCTAACATTTTCTGCGCATGCACGTGGGGTAACATAATATTCTACCAACTATAATTATTTGCAGGGTCCACACATCTTGCTTGATTGCTGATGTTCTAACTCAAAAATTGTTAAAAATGGATGATAAAAGAACCTGAAAGATTATGTTAGTTATTTTCTTATATTTCAGTCTCGTCGTCTCCTCCCTCGGAGACCCCGACGTGGGGTTCAAAGGTGAACTCATCGAGAGGAACATCTATGTCTCCTATAGGACCAGTGGTTGTCGATTCCTGAGAGGGAGAAAGAGAAGGAGAGAGAAATAGAGGAAATAGAAAGAGAAGGAGGGAGAGATATGTAGAAGGGAGAGTATAACATATGCCCAGAAAATACGTTGGTCACTGAATTTCAAATGTTGGCTGATTTCACTCAGCAAACTTTTGTAATACTCATTTCACTTTGACAAGGTGATCAAGTCTGCTCACCATAAGCTCTGCCTCCAGTTGTCTCTCTCGCTCAGCCTCCTCCTCCTTCCCCAGATCCTCCTCCACCTCCCCAGTCTCCCCGCTATCACCTCCTCCCATCGTCACACCTACACACAGTCACACACAGCACAAGATTCATAAAGTGAGCAAACTTTTGTGCTTCGCGGTTGCTATTAATTTCAAGGACAATACTCAACTGATGACTGAAAAACTGCAGAAGGAAAGATCCTCGTATGAAAAGTTGTAAAATGTATCAGAACAGATGTCCATTACTGTTAAAAATGAACTTGTGACTGTTTCTTACACTAATATGTACATTATCACTCTCAGTCTTGTACTACTCATGTACACATCACTCTATGCTGTTTGTAGTAGTAGAGGCGGTTCATTTGTTTTGTACACATGGTTTTGTGGGGAGTGTGTAGATTTTTCGTGGGAGAGGGGAGAGTACGAGTAGAATCACGTTTGATGTGCAAAGTGTTATCAACACATTACTCGCATGACTCCATTCCATACCTGATAGTGGTGGAATGGTACGGGGAGCGTAAGTGGCACTGGAACGAGACCGGTACGGTCCTCCGTCGACCGTCTCGGCACTACTACCAAGAGATTCGTCCCCTCTCCTCTTGTACCATCGACCAAACACTCCACACTGGAGTGGTAGAGATCACATGACATCATGTGACCATCACATGATCCTCACATGATGTCTTACCAGTGCTAGAGCTCCAATGAGGATAAAGAGAGCTAGTAGTCCAGCCACAAATGAAACCACGATGATCCAATACTGAAAACACTCCAATTGTACCTCAATCACTGATGGAAGCACTTCAAATGCAGCCTGGGAGAAAGAGAGAAAATTTGGGAGTTTTTTCTCCTTCATTTTGTGGACAGAAGGTGTGGGATTATACATGCATGTTTCTTCGCTCTTTCATTTTGTGGGAAAAGGTGTGTTAGCTACTAGCTAGTTTCCATTTGTAGGGAAAAGTCTGAGAGCTTGTATATAAGCATATTATAGGAATTTAATTTGTGGACAGATGCTGTGGGTTTTGCATTTTCTGTGGGAGTGAATCAACTCACAGAAGAAAAATCGTTTTCAGTGTCTGTGATCTCAAGTCCTTCGATTGTGGCATTGATCCCTGCAAAGACCGAGTAACTCTCCCGCACTATGATGGATGGGCTCTATAGATAATAGAAACATACGTGTACGCATTCAAGCAACGTTCAAAACGAGCTTTGACATGTGAACAACTGAGTGGTCATTGAAAAAAGACAAAGAACTGAAAAGAGGAAAGAGATGAAAGAGAGTACACGTGTCAACTTCGATGTAGAAAGGCAAAGGCACGACCTACACCCATAGAAAGAGGAGAGAGAAAGAGAGAGAAAGAGAAGAAGGAAGAGAGAGAAAGAGAAGAAGGAGGAGAGAGAAAGAGAGGGAGCTCACGAAGAGGTAAGCGAAGATGGTGACTTGCGAGGGAGGTCGCCCAGCCTCCAAATTCCTCACGGTGCACTTGATTCTCCCACACCTCACACCCAGGGCCCCTCTCTGACCCTCGCACCGCTCCTGCTGCAGGGAGAGGGGGTCCTGGTCGACCCCCAGGGGTAGGAAATTTGGCAGTCGCTGCACAGGAGACTATGGAAATAGACAAAAGATAACAATAGAATTCTTGCTACCTGGAGAATGCAGTGCAAATAACCTTCAGGAGTGGTAATCATACATTTGTTGACATTGTGTGATGCAATATGTTAGGTATGTGTTTAGACTCACCAACAAGTCTTCGGCAATGATGTCATATCCACTACAAGTGATGTCATTCGATGCCGTGAAAAACTGGTAGGGTATCAGGAGTGGTTGGAAATTGGAATTCCTGTCTGTTTGCACGGCAACCGGAAAATGGATGACAAGTGTAGAGGTGGGGATCGTTGTTCCATTAGAGATATCGCGGGGGTTGTTAACCTGTTTGTGACAAGAAATACTAGTTTTACAGGAGGCAGAGGAGGAGCAAAGTACCATTTCTTGTTGAATTGTTGTGCAGCAAGTAATACAGTTTGTAGATTACGTCCGACAAAGAAAAAGAGGGAGAGAGAGGAGATCAGCGAAGGCCCTGTGGCCCAATGGATAAGGCATCTGACTACGGATCAGGGGGTTCCAGGTTCGAATCCTGGCAGGGTCACTTCTTTTTCTCTCCCTTCACAGTTTTACACTGATGTTTTAGTCTTAAATGGAGGCTAGGGTTGGTTTTTTCTCAACCTTGTTTGCATAAATCTTTCAGTCTTCAATGGAGGCTTGAAAAGTTTTACTAATGGTAATTCCTTGGAAGCTGAGATGATATAATTTTTTGTGAAAAATTTGCGTTGGTAACAGAAGAGAGAGGGAAAGAGAGAGAGAAGAGGTATAGCTAACCAGGACAGAGAATCGGACAGTGGGCCCTGTTTCATTGAGAGGAATTGTTCTTATGTTTCTCGTGAGAGCGAGTCTAGTTGCCTGATACTGTTCTTCACTCACACTGCATAGAAAGGTAGGAATAATCACGTGATAGTCATGTGACTAATACCAGAGCTCACATGACTCCGATCCCTAGAGAGGCCTCGGCTCTGAGAAAGATTTCAGTGGTGCGGCTGGTAGATGTGTTGCCGGTTGAGCCGTCCACCACCGAGATGGTGAGGGGGAGAAAGGAGGTGGAGAGAGGGACGGCTGTGGTGTTGAATCTGAACCACAGAGTCAGGCTTATCTGACAAAGAGAGGAGGAGGAGGAGGAGGAGGAGGAGGAGAAAGGAAAGAGGAAGTTGAGTTAGTGTCTATTCAGAGAACCCATTGAGCATTCACTGTTCCGGAACTCTATTCAGCATCTATTGTGAGGTGAATGAATTGCCTCTGAACCAAAGTCTTCCCTTTTGTGGGCAATATTTTGTCTTTCCTGGGCTTGCACCCTACTTATACACTGAAACCAACAGAGAAAGCTCTGGGTTCAGTGGCCTATGTACCTTTGACGAGGACATTAAACATTGCGTCAAAAGTTGCATCAAACGCTAAAGTTCCTGGGAGGCTTACAGATGTGTTGGAATGTAGAGGGTTTCTCAGTGGACACCGTGGCTTTGGTGTCGTGCTGGACTCACAACTAACATTATCTCCAGCCGAACGAGAAGTCTGGAAAACAAGAGAATAGAAATCAGGTCAGGGGTACGAGGCATCATGGCGTGCATGTCGGTTGGTCTTACAGTGCTGTTGAGGATAATCCCATTCCCCAGATCCAGTACCAGAATGGGACTCACTCCATCGTCCTGGGCCGTGTTACGGATGGTTACATTATAACTGAATGACACTCCTGGTGCCAGCAGCAGTGGTGGTCCATCTACATCACTGAGATGGAGGGGGAAAATTTCACACTAGAAAATTACGTTACTAAGTGGCTCAGCTGAAAGTTTATCGCTATGACACCGTAACTTCATCATGTTCACATGTATATAGATGCAGACAACCAACTCACAAAGATGGAGATAGAGAGATGGAGTAGCTTGGCTCACAGGCTGCACTGAGCCCTCCACTGCAGTTGAGCCCAAATGAAACCTGAAACCAACACAAGCACAATAAACTTACTGCGGTTTTCACACAACTCAATATGAATGAAGTATGTATTGCTTGTTCTGCAGCTAGGGTTTCAATTTTTTTTCACAACAGACACTGCATTTTTAGCTTCACCTCGCCTTTTTAAGAGACGCTAAACCAACGCCTAAACGTCCTTATTTTGTTGATATCTGACATTCGTGTCAACAATGAGGTAACCAGACAAAGCAAATAGCACATCGAAACCCAGGCAGATCCTTTTGATAACAAAAGTGGTCAGTCAATAAGAGAAGTAGTCTTACATCCTGTGATATGGAGGTGACTGCTTGTCGGTCTCCTGCAGTGTATCGCTGGGACAGGACAGGAGTGAGGGGACCCCCGAGATTATCGGTCGTCGAGTCCGCCGGGAGAGGCGGGACAGAGTCCGATTCCGATACCTCCAGGTGGACTGGAATGGGGGTGGTCTCGACAAAATCAGCCTGAACGAGTGTATGATAAAATTTGTCACGTGCAAGAGTATTCATACTTTGCATGTCATTATAAGTCACGAATGTTCGTGCACATTTGAGGCTCCTTTCTAAGCATGTATGGTTGGTAAGTTCGAAAGCATGTTCACTAAGAACAATATTCTACTAAGTGAGGACACATGTTTTGCAAGCGTGTGTTCTAAGATATATGCCGACTCCCGTGTATAAACCCACACTTATGTGCTTGTATATGCACATAAACACATACAAACCTCTTAGCACGCATGCTAAAAACCACTCACTCTGATGGCGAAAGTGAAAGGTCCCACACACAGCCTATTACTGGGTCCAGCCCCTGTCGTTGTCACGTTATCAGACACTGTGTTCTCAGTGATGACGGTGAAGTTCTCGCCGTTGGCAGTGAGCAGGACGACTCGCGGCGACTGGCGGCCATCTCCGTCCACTGTCAGGTGGTACTGGAAGACTGCAGGAGAGATATTAGACTAAGTAAAGGGAAGTGTTTTGTAGCTTTACGTCATCTTCCTCTGTGAGAATATTATTTTTCACGTAAGTATGTATAAGGGAGGAGAATTTGGAATGGGGAAAGAGAAAGTACACATTATGTATGATAAAAGTAGAGAGAGGGAGAGATAATGAAGGTGATAATGAAGATTTGACTAACCAAACTCTGTACACATTATGTATGGTAAGAACAGAGAGAGGGAGAGATAATGAAGGTTTGACTAACCAAACTCTGTACACATTATGTATGATAAGAAGTAGAGAGAGGAAGAGATAATGAAGGTGAAAATGAAGATTTGACTAACCAAACTCTGTACACATTATGTATGATAAGAAGTAGAGAGAGGAAGAGTAATGAAGGTGAAAATGAAGATTTGACTAACCAACTCTGTACACTATGTATGATAAGAAGTAGAGCGAGAGGAAGAGATAATGAAGGTGAAAATGAAGATTGTGACTAACAAACTCTGTACACATTATGTATGATAAGAGTAGAGAGAGGAAGAGATAATGAAGGTGAAAATGAAGATTGACTAACCAAACTCTGTACCACATTATGTATGGTAAGAAGTAGGAGAGGAGAGATAATGAAGGTTTGACTACCAAACTCTGTACACATTATGTATGGTAAGAACAGAGAGAGAGAGAGATAATGAAGGTGAAAATGAAGATTTGACTAACCAAACTCTGTACACATTATGTATGATAAGAAGTAGAGAGAGGGAGAGATAATGAAGGTTTGACTAACCAAACTCTGTACACATTATGTATGGTAAGAACAGAGAGAGGGAGAGATAATGAAGGTGAAAATGAAGATTTGACTAACCAAACTCTGTACACATTATGTATGATAAGAAGTAGAGAGAGGAGAGATAATGAAGGTGAAAATGAAGGTTTGACTAACCAAACTCTGTACACATTATGTATGGTAAGAAGTAGAGAGAGGGAGAGATAATGAAGGTGAAAATGAAGGTTTGACTAACCAAACTCTGTACACATTATGTATGATAAGAAGTAGAGAGAGGGAGAGATAATGAAGGTGAAAATGAAGATTTGACTAACCAAACTCTGTACACATTATGTATGATAAGAAGTAGAGAGAGGGAGAGATAATGAAGGTGAAAATGAAGATTTGACTAACCAAACTCTGGGACATCCACACTATGTACAGCTTCATAGTAGAAACATGGGGACACCTGAAAACTAAAACAAATTGCTGAAGTAATGAGTCGGCAAGTATGTATCGATGTCATACCATAAGAGAGTGATGTTATCATGAACAGGGCACTTTCTGTCGGCCACGAGGTCGAGGGTCGACTGGAGGTCTTCAAACTCCATGACAACGGTAACCAGGGGGCTGGTTCGTATGGTTGTGACCGTACCGGTCAGGTCTCCAACGGTCAGGTCTAGTGGGCAAGAGAGTAGCAATTAATATTGATGTATTTTCATGATGATAGACATCTTAGCAATCTTATTATGATTAGTGGATGCGAGTAGAATTACCAAATTTTAAAAGGGTTAGAAATGTAATACCTGGGTAGCCATTGTTGTCAACATCAATACCACCGGAAAGTGTGTATCCAAATACGCTGGCAGTTGGAGAGGCTGGGATCGCCTGTGAGGAAGGGGTTAACACATTCACAACACTGGTAGAGGGAGATGGGTTAACAGAATACACTGGTAGAGGGAGAGGGGTTAATAAAATCGTGCGTAAAACAGTAGAAGTCATACCTGAGTAGGTGGGAGGAGTCCACCTTCGAACCCTCGACAAATATAAACCACACCCCTTTCTCCGGCATAGGGGGCGGAGACTGCCACATCAGCGAATCCGTCTCCGTCGCTGTCTCCAATGGCGGCGACCGCCGTTCCAAACCGACCCGGAACAGAGACGGCCGGGGATGGAATACGGACAGGATCAGCTGGAAACTATGGAGAAAGATGGGCCCGTAATGAAACATTTATGGTGTTTGAGGTTTTGAGATCAAAAATAAATATTTTCTGCTAAACATCATACTATAGACACATCATAGTAGTATGAATGAGCGTACAAACGAAATGAATATATTATTTAAACAGGCAACGTACGGGTTGTGAGAGATCTCAGAGTGTAAGTAAACGAAGAGAGCCCCTTCATCACTGCTGCACAACGGACAGCCCACAATGAGACTGTGGTACTGCCCGTCCTCGGAGAACGAGTGAGCTACGAAATCATAGCCAAAGTAGCCGTCCGGCTTTAGAGAGGGGGAGGGAAAGGGTTAATGTATACACATGTAGGTGAGAAAAGGGTTAATGTGTGGTGCTGAAGGCAAACAGTTAACATATTTGTAGGTCAATATTATGTGCAAGAGCAAAGTAAAATTGCAGAAGGAAAAAGGGCTGATGTGTGCGAGGAATGAGTTAACGTATTTGCCAAAGCAATAGGGTTAATGGTCATGTATAGGAGAAAAGGGGTTAAAGAAGAACGAGGTCAAGTTATAAACTTGAGAGAGGAAGGATTATTACCTCAGGTCCAGTAATGGGAGGATGAGCATCAGCCAGAGTTCCATCGTTAGGGACATTGAAAATCCTTATCTGCATCGAGTCACGTGACAATCACATGATTAACATATAGAGGTCACGTGATCACACAACTCACCTGTCCGTGGTGCATACTAGCTCTCGGAGCACTCGCAGCAATCTCTAAGAAACGGAAAAAAAAGGGAACAAAAAAATGTATCAGATTTTACAACTCCCTTAGTCACTGTTTTTTTTACTGCATTCTCCAACTATAGTCAATTAACTCAGGATAGTTTTTTGGTCTCTCTCTCTTCCCCCACATGCTCAAAAAGTACGAAAAATTTAGAGGTTTGCTCTACACTTTTTAGAGAAGCCGGTTGGTCTATCCTTCCCCCCACATAAATACGCAAAGTTTAACCACGATTTTTGCAGATTTAAAATATAGTAAAAGACTTACGAAGCAAATTTTCGGTGAACCTGCCCAGTTCTATCTTGTACCCCAGCAGTTCATCCTCTGTTGCAGTCCTTCGCTGCGACGAAGCAGTGACGCTGAGGTCACCAAGACTAGCTGGAGTCAGACTTGTCACCACGACCTGCCCCGGTTTGTTACCTACAGAGTGGCGACGTCGTAGTTACTGGAGTCTATTTTTAGAAACAGGGGTGTGGTTTGGCAAACCTGTGTTGGCCCCACCGTAGACACTTCCAATTGCAATCCTCTCTGTGACTCCACCTCCTATATCCTATAATAGTAGGGGAAAAGTCACATAGAATAATATGCCATATATACAAATCATGGTGGTCGACCTAATATAATATAATCGCTCACCCCCCCCAATTGAATGATGATTGATTGCATTGAGGAGGGAATAAACAAGACCATCTACTATATGAGCTACATTACTGTGCATATGTACGTACGTAGGTATTATACATACCCTTTGAATGATGTTAATATCAATTCCACCCAATGTCAGCGAGCCACCTTGAAGATCATCTGTGGAACATTAGAGACTGATCATTCACAGAGCCACGCTTTTCGTAAAGTGTAAAAAAATTTGAAGACCAATGCTAACCTCCAAATTTTGCGAGCAGAACGATTGTATAATTATACACAATCAGAGAAGTTTACTCTTAAACAGTTTGCACAAAAGAATTAACTCACTGTTAGTAATCTGGAGTATGTCGCTTGTCATGTTAGAGAGGTCCCCACTGAGTACTACACACCTCCCAGTGGGCGTGGCATGGGCGTGGTTTACACCATCGATGGGTAATATCTGAATGGTGCTCACGTAGAGAGGGGCACAAGCCTGCACAGTGTGGAGAAAGAGAAGCACGCACTTAGCTGAATGTTTCTGTGGAAATCCAACTTTAAGATTGATAAATACACAGCTGGCAGGAGGTAAAGTAGCTGAAGGAACCCAATTTAATGATTGAACCATAGTAGAAATGCACAGGGTGGGAGGTAAAGAGAAAGCTAAGATTGTTTCATGGACTTACCACAACGTGGTTCTCGAAGCTCCTCAGAGAGAAGCCCAGTAGTTGGCCGTCAAACGATCTGCTGTCATCTGACAGTAGAGTGAACAGGTCCTGGGCCAGTGGGTTACTGTCTGCGGAGAAAAGAGAGGGAGAGAAGATAATTTTAGAAGAGAGAGAAGAGAAAGCAAGAAATGGAGAGAGAGAGAGAGAGAGAGAGCAAGCTTGCTGCAGACTCACCATCTTTAGTCTGGAAGATTGACTCGACGCTGCAGCTCTGTGAGTTGTCAAAGGGACAGGAGTAGACTCCTCCCTCTTCCACTGGGTTGCCAAAGAAATCAGAGCCATTCAGTCGCGGAGAGCCAACTAGTACACTGCAGAGAGACAAACAACTCTCAAGCTACACCTTACAACCAGTCCAGGTTTGCTGCAGCAAAGTTAGCAGGGTGTGGATTATGGTGTCAATCAGCTATTCTGGACAATCTTCAACATATCAAATTTACTTCTAGGATTTTGTGAATGATAGCACTCAATCGCCTACTAATAGCATTTACTTGGGAGTTATATACCAGTAATATTATCGCTTATCATTCACCGTGAAAATTGAGGCTCTGTGTACCATACATATGTTGTTAGCGGCATTCCCTGTGCGGCGTGTTTATGTCGTGCTGTAAGCCACACCGTCATTGTATCACAGTTTGGTATGGGGAAAGAGTTGCTTAGCTATGAGAGGGTGTGGTGGAATCCATTACAATCGTAGCAATGCAGGTTTGGTGAAAGAATGTGGAAGGACCCGGTCTTAACTTATAGCCTGCGTCTCAAAATATTTGCACTTGCCGACGTTTTGGGAGCTCTGTTTTGTAACATAGGAAGAAGGTTTTCTATCAACCGTTGCTATCCTTTTAGCAGTGACTGATTGCACAGTGTATGGTTACTATGCACTGGCTTGGATACTCTAGTATTCTTCAGTAATCTTCTTCAGTAATCTTCTTATATAGTCAGGATACTCTAGTAATCTTCTTGGAAGCTACAGTTTATACTGTACTGTCTGAAATACATGATTGGAAGCTTTTGGGTACTACATAAAGCACACTCTCGACACACAATCATACCCTATACTGAACTAACTACATTAGAGGCTGTGGCAATAACACAATATACCTGGCAGCATTATATATAATCATACTCCATAGGTGTTGCCATCACTAAGGCCTACCACAAATAAACTATACTGGACTAACTGTATTAGAGGCGGTATAGGAAGCATTATACTTAATACTGCATAAGCCTTGCCATCACTAGGGCTCATGCAGTATAGACAGACAGATGCATGCACATGTTACTGTATTAACGTTTGCTTACACTTTCCGACCGTCTGAGAACTGGTGTTGTGTCATTGAGAATCCGAATCCACCACTGGAGCCTACACCACTAGAAACTATGGTTGGAACTGAAGTATCGAAATTGTAGCTCCTGACAGTATTCCATGTCAGTATCGACACCAGTAGTGTACATTGAAGTATAGAGTTTATTGGTGGCATAGTTAGTCAGTCAATCCTGCAAGTAAAGTGAACCAATGGCAAGAATATTATAGCTATATATGGAGCATAAAAGTGATTGATTTATACTTATGTATAATGCTAAGAGACTCGTGTGCTAACACAAGGGACACTTCTACAGGTAAAGAGGCCGAATGTAATCACCTAATTTCCAGGCTTTTCTACCAGGTACGTTTCCTCTTTCATAACTGCAAGTCGTCAGTGTTAGCTAATAATAGCTATATGTAGCTACATTCACGTACACCACATTGTATATACTTCATCGAACTCGTGCTATAGCCGGTCTTTGATCAGCCTTATCAACTCACCTTCAATAAAAGCTAGGAACCGATATATACACACCGTAGGCCTCTCACTATCTCTCTGTTCTGCCTGCTACGTTTTCGGCTGCAGCGTACGTTCGCCGTTTTATACGCGCTGCGCCCACTGCGCATGCGTACCCGCCGCATCCGTCACAAAGAATACGGACATAAAACGGAGATATCCACACACACGTAAACGGAGAAAGAATACTAAGTCCCGACGCTCCTCCTCAGCCTTGCGGTGACCTGCTCCACACTCAGTCCTTTAGTTTCAGGAAGATATCGATACAGATAGACCCACAGTGCACCACACGTCACCACAAACACACTGGTCCCATACGGATAGAGGTATTTCTGCAAAAATAATACAGATCACAAATTTTGAGTTTCAGGGGCTCAAATTTTAAGGTATATACTGACCAAAATGTAGGGGAAGGTGAGGCCGACTGTGAAGTTTGCGAACCAGTTGACAATGGTTGCTATGCCGACAGCGATGGGCCGCGCCTCCTGGAGGAAGAGCTCGGAAACCATCAGCCACGGGATGCTCCCTATGCACACACACACACACACACACAGGAGGAATTATACACAAGGCCGTTGGAAAATTTGTCAGTATTGTGAGAATTTTATCAGTTAACAGAAACTTACTGCATTTTCTTGCACTAGGGCCTATTGCTTTGTAAAGTCGAAAATTAGTTAGCTGATGTAGTATTATTAACATTAAGTTGAACATTTGTTGGCTTACGCAAACACCACCATTTTGCAGCATGTTGCAGTTCTACGTGATTTGTCTACAATTGTAGGGAGGACTGGTACTAGCTTATACACCTGGTCCCATGGCAAAGAGAGCCACAGTAGTGAGACTGAAGATAACTAATAACACTCCAGGAGCCGTCACCTATAGTACATTCAGTGAGTGAGAAAGATCACACATGTCATCAATGATAACAGGAAACTGTTTGTGTTTTGCGCTGACTTACATAATGCGAGGAAGAGTTGTGGTAGAATCCATCCTGTATATTGGAAGCAGAAATGACAATGAGAGACAGAAAGTGAAAGAGAGTAAAATGGTAAAAGAGGGGAGAGAGAGGAGAAAGGGAGAGAGCAGAGAGAGGAAAGAGGAGAAAGGGAGAGAGGCGAGATGAGGAGATCGATGGGATTTGACTTAGACGATCCTCGCTCTCTATTCTCTCGTGCTCTATTCTCTCTCTCTCACTTATGCTACTCGCGCTCGTCTAGCTATTAGAGAGGAAGAGATACGACGATGAGGGATGTTTGTTTGTACCTGTAAGCAGAACATGGCGGTGAGAAGAAGAAACGAAACTGCCATTCCTCCCAACCCGTATAACATCAGTGTCCTCCGTCCGGCCAACTCAATGACAAACACCTTCAGAAAGAGATTAACATTAACCCATTGCACGAGTTATGGCATTATACACACTTGCATAATAAAACAGCCACACCAACCCAAGTGCACAATGAGTTAAGTCCAGGTCTAACAAACATACAGAGAGAAACACACTAGACCCACCAGGCACAACTTACAGTGATGAATGTTACAATGACCAGCACCAGCCCGATAGCTACTGTAGCAATGTCCGCATCGTTCACTCCAGCCAGTCTGAACACAGACGTACTGTAGTAGAGTATCTACACCAAATGCAGAGGACACCTCTTACAACAGTAAAATATTGCAGTATAAGTGTCTAAAGTGAAACAGAACCTTAATAATTACATTATTGCACTGGGCCCTACAATTGCTATATTTAGTAACATTTCTAAATTTAGCCATTACGTATGTACAGCGGCATTCCCTCACCCCATTGATTCCACTCAGCTGCTGGGCAAGATGGAGACCTATGCTAACAAACAGAGCTCTCCTCATGTAGTTGACAGTCAGCAAATCCCCAAACTTTATCTCTGTTGCTGACTATGCAACTCAGCCTGCGGGTGAGGTCACATGACATCATGTGAGATCATGTGAGCCCGTGTGACGTAATTGGAATTACCTGCATTTCTTGTATTTCTTCATCTGTGTTAGCACCCGCCCCTCTTAACCTCTTGAGAGCTGAATAATTAGACATATATAGATCACATGACTATCACCTGACCATAATGTGAGTATCACGTGACCTTGACCACACCCACCTCTCTTGGCTGCAGCTTCATTCTTTCTCTTAATGAGAAGGAACCTGGGGCTGCGAGGGGACCAGGGCAGGAGTGCCAGCTGGACGAGAGAGAAGAGGAGAGGAACTGCGAAGAGCAGTCTCCAGCCGTAGAATACGTCAGAGTCTGACCTCCCGAGAGCCTGCGACATGGGCAAACAAGAGGAAATAAAACAGTCGTTTTTGCTCTTTTTAGTCAGCGGAACCTTAAGGACCACTAGGATCATCAAATTTCTCTTCAAAGGGAATGTGACAGCACATACATACTAAGGGAAAAATTTAGAACCAAACAACAGGTGAAAGAATTTCAGTTAGTTTTAGCATCATACTAATACATACGTTCAACTTATCCGTTCCAAATGTGTTGAACTTTTTTCAAGGCCCCCTTTATTCCCCCCTCCCTCTCCTCTCCGACCTAACCTTGCTAATGCCCAGTATCTGTGCCAGAAGTAGACTGACGGTGATGGCCATCTGGTGAAGCACACCCACAGCTCCCCGCAATCTCACTGGAGATATCTCTGATATGTAGAGCGGAACCAGGACAGTATTGATCCCTGGGTATGACAGAATGGGAACGGAATACGGGAATTGAACCCTTCGTAAGTGAAATCAACACTATGGAAGAATGGGGCATTAGTCACGGGTGTATGAAAGAACAGATAGAAACACTGATGTATGGAGGATTGGGAATGGAAACACGAATGCATGGAAGGGAGGGAAGGGGTGCAAATGATGATGTAGAGATAGAAATGGAAACATGAATATATGGAGAATGAGATCATGAATGCAGGGAAATGGAATCGTGAATGCATGCAAGAATTGACTTTGGGTACCTGAGTTGATTCCCACCACGAATCGTCCAGCAATGAACATGCCGGGGTGAACTGCCAGGGACTGGAGACCAGCCCCAATCAATACTAGCAGGTTGTTTACTAGCAGAGTGTACTTTCTGAGGAGCGATGGAGGAGAGGGGGAGAGAGAAAGCTAGTCACGATGAAAACAAGAACCAAACCTTCCGAGGAAATCAGCTAAAATCCCCGCAGAGACAGCCCCCAGGAGACCACCAATTGCAAATATCGAGACAGCCACGTTCATCTCCAGCGAAGAAAAAGTGATGTTTCTGTCTTCGAACGATTGCCTTATGACCTGCACGGCATCACGGCAGAGAGGGAGGGGGTGGAGGAAATCAAGTTTTTTTAAAACCGGTTTTGAGCCCGTTGTGAGCTGGTTTTCGTACTTGTTGTGGGCTGTTGAGGACTCCGGTGGAGTAGCCAAACTGAGTGCTGGAGCCGATCACGGCTGCAGCTACTGAGACCAGGAATAAACATGGGAGTCTAGTGCACCGGTGGGGCTGCAAAATGGAGGTCAGAGAGGCAAAAATCATGTTTGAATGTTGAATGTTACCTCTAGCATGTGCTTTTGTAATGCTACCTGGGCTTTTATGGAGCTAGCTAGATAGACAATGCAGGCACGCCTTCATGTTCCAACCCTGCACGTGGTGCTTTATTCACACTTGGAATTACAAGCACTTTTATGGAGCTAGATACACCATGCAGACAACGAGAGAACGTGTGTGTGTGTGTGTGTGCGGTAAAAAGGTGCAGCCTTGCCTGCGAGGGAGACGGTCTGTACGGATGATAGTTGACTCTCTCGTCTTGCTGCACAGACGGCCTGTTGTCCGTGGAGGGTGGTGTAACCAGGGAATCGCGGTCCAATCCATCGCCATCCATCTCGTCGGCCATGCTCAATGCGCATGCGCAATATGTCACGTGCCTTTAGGTTCAAAGTTCAACGTTTGCACACGTGGGCAAATCCGAGTAGAGTCGCTGCAGAGATGCATGCAGAGTTGGAGTACGTGTCTGTGGGCTGCAGCAGAACTCCTCACGCCGTCGATTGGAGCGGGAGTGGTACAGTAGCCTACGCCGCTCACGAGACGGTCGCTCTAGCTCGGGAAGCTGAGGTATGCGTCGTCTCGTAGCGAGTTTTTGGATTTTTAGTGACTCTTAGGAGGGGCGCGGGCCAGCGCGGGTGTTTGCAACGCTCCAGGGGCACAGCGGGAGAGTGAACTGTGTTCGATGGATACCTTCTCTCTCCTCTCTATCAGCTGAGCTAGTTTCAGGTGGCGTGGACGGCAAGATTATAGTGTGGAGGAAACAAAAGGGTGGGCAGGTGAGGGATTTCTGGGGTGAGAGGGAAAGAAAGAAAGAGAGAAAATTTCAACTCAGTTTACAGTCGTTCAAGAGCTGTCCTCGCACACTGCATCTGTGAATTGTGTTGCGGGAGTGTATCTGTTGCTTAGTGATAGAGAGGAAGGGGAAACCCCATCGATCAAAACACTGATTGCATCAGCATCCAGCGACTCTACACTCAAAGTGTGGCAGAGACTTAACCTCGATGGTAAGTTGTTTTGTTGAGCGTGGATTGCTGTTAGCATGAAATTTTCTATTTTTTCAGATGAATTTTCTGAAGTCCAGAGCATTTCTTTTGGACGTGGTTTTGCTCTGTGTATAGACTGCTGTCTCCTTCCCTCCTGCTCCCCTGTTGGTGGGTCACCTGACTGTCATGTGACCCAGCCATTTAACTCCTTCCTCACTGATTTTCCAGAGCCCGTACTGGTTACTGGAGGAGACGATGCTAGAGTGAACATTTACATCTGGAACAATGGACAAGTCAGTACACGTTAATCAGGACATCTTTTATACTATAAATATTCTTAATTTACTCTACCAAGGACCGCAAAGAATCTTGAGAATTTTGGTGCGATATTGTGTATGCTGATGTTATTGTTTTACTTTCTGTTACAGTTTTGTCGAGGGCTGAGTGTGAGTGGTCACAAGGATTGGGTGAGAGACGTAGAGGTAGCAAGAGAGGGACGTGACCTACTGCTCGCCTCATGCTCTCAAGATGCCTCCATCAGACTCTGGAGAATTTGTCAACAACAACAGCAAGATTGTAAACATAAACAACAACAAGAGGGAGAGGTGGAGGAAGAGTTGAAGTTGAAAGGAAACACGTTTTGCTTGTCGTCGGGTGCCACTGTATCTGTGACTCTGGAGTCCGTTTTGATTGGTCGGTTTGAATTTCAAATTCGACCAATGGGAATTGGTTTCGGTGTGTGCCACTGTAGGTCACGAGGACTGGGTGTACAGTGTCTGTTGGTGGCCGAGAAACAGTTGCCATGGCACCGACCAATCAGATTGCAGCTCTGCCGATGATTGTCTTCAGCTACTCTCTAGTTCCATAGACAAGACAGTTGTCCTCTGGAAGCCAGATCCAGTGTCCGGCGTCTGGATGGAAGAGGTAAATTTTTACCCCATCAGGCAAATTTTTGTGCTCTGATGTCCAGTAAAAATTTTAGCTGTGACAGTAAATTTTGTGACTGTAGGAAGAAACCCAGTGAATTTTTGCAGGTGAGGGTGGGCGAGGTAGGAGGGAACACACTGGGGTTCTATGGGGGCCTAATTTCCCCCGGGGGCCAATTAATCTTGGCCCACGACTATCAAGGAGGCCTTCATCTGTGGGGGAGGGAAGAAAAGGAAGAGGGAGAAGGTGGGCGGAGTCTCGATGTTTGGTCGTCGCTACCGACGATTGGCGGGCATTTCTGTGGGGTTCAGGGGTTGTCATGGGAACCGAGAGGAGGAGCATTTCTCTTGTCTGTATCCTCGGACCAGACTGCTCGGCTCCACGCTCCCTGGATCAGGACAGGCGGTGAGGTACGTGTCCTAAACCCCTAACAGGACACCGTGTTTTAGGACGTCCTGATCTTCAGCAGCAGAGAATGTGGTTTGAGATTGCCCGGCCGCAGATCCACGGATACGACATGACCTGTGTTGCCATGACAACGTCGCTCCAGTACACATCCGGAGCCGACGAGAAAGTAAACCACACATGCCTGGTGTGAAAAATTTTTGATTTCCGTAACCCAAATATTTTACCAGGTTTTGAGAGTTTTTGAAGCTCCTGCGAATTTTGTGGCCAACCTCTCGAGAATCAGTCGCGAACACTTACAAAAGGTCAGTTGGTTTTCAGAAAGTTTTTTTTGCTGTTTTTACTCAATTTCGTCATATCATTTGTTTTCAGGACGGAAGCGATGTGCCACTAGGAGCAAGTGTGCCAAGCCTCGGCCTCTCAAATAAGGCTGTCTTCACATGTAGGTTACGTCATCATGATGTAATTGGTATGTGACTACACGAGATACATAATTATGCTGCAATCAGGTGGAGAAGGGAGTGAGGGGAAAAAGATCACCAAAAACCCATTTGCGGACCACGTACCCTCGTTTCAACCCGTCGATCTAACCGGTTACCTCATACTTATTACTAAAAATAGCACTGGACCTCGTGCTATATTTAGAGCCGCCCGTGGAGGCCCATCTGTTGCAGAACACTCTCTGGCCGGAGACGCAGAAACTGTACGGACATGGTTACGAAATATACTGCGCTGCAGCCAGTCCAGACGGACGCTACGTTGCCTCAGCCTGCAAGGTATATAACATTGATACTTTAGAATAGGCACCCTCCAAATAGAGCACACCTCTATAAAGGAAACTTAGTTCTACCCCATACTTATTAATCTCTGAATAAAGGACACTTTTGATGTCCCCACCATGTCCCTTGTGCAGAAGTTTCATTGTAAGAAGAATACACCTAGTTACGTAGGACACCTTTTTCCAGCTTAAAATTAGTTTGTCCTAAATGAGGAGAGTTTGTGTGCTCTGGTTTTCAGGCAACGAAAGCCGAACATGCAGTGATAAGGATCTGGGAGGTGTCGTCATGGAAACAGCTGCAGCCTCTCCACCATCACAGCCTCACCGTCACACATCTCACCTTCTCGCCCTCCTCCCTCTTTCTCCTCGCCACCTCTCGAGACAGAACCTGGTCGCTGTGGAAACACGTGGGAACCGACAAAAACCGTGAGTATAATTATTGTGTCTAATGAGAGACTAGCGAGATAGAGGCAAGATAGGGATAGGAGTAGGGAGATAGTGTTGCTATTCCACACTCCAACAATAGTCAAAGCATTAGGGGTGGTTGGTTTATCATTTCGTTTATCTATGTAGCTGTAAAAATTGCAAAATCGAACCCTTATTTGGGGGGCGGGGTGAGGGGGTGAAATGACAGGAAAATAAAGAGGCGAGGGTCAGCGAGATAGTGTTGCTATTCCATACTCCAACAATAGTCAAAGCATTGGGGATGGTTGGTTTGTCATTTCGGTTACTCACTTGCTTACAAAAAATGCAAAACCATTGAAACGTTTGCGAGGAGTGTGAGGGGGGTAAGGGGAAGTTTGAATGGACAGTGAGATAGGGGAAAGATAGGGATAGGTAAAGCTATTCCACCCTATCTCCCTGCAGCTCCATTTCAGTTGTGCTGCAGTCTGGAAAAATCCAGCAAGCTACACAGCAGAGTGATCTGGACCGCATCTTGGGCCCACGATGATTCCTGCTTCGCTACTGGCTCCAGGGACAAGAAGGTCAGGTGACAGTCATGTGACCAGGCCAGTGATTCATTGTTTATCTGACAGGTGTTGCTATGGAAACGTGGAGAGAGTGAGGAGGTGTGGTCAGTACAGAGTCCCCCGCTGGAGTTCCAGCATTCTGTGACGGCACTGGATTTTTCGCCCCTCCCCACACGTGACAGCAGGTGTGCTGTATTAACTCTGTATAGAGTGGGAAACTATTTAAGGAAGAAAAATTCGAATCTGGTTGAAATCAGGAAGATCACGATGAAAAATTTGCGATGAAATTTCTAGCTCCCCTCAATATTCAGCTCAACCCTGAATTTTATGCAGTAATGCTACAATTCTGCATTATGTAATGGTGACACATCTCTCAGACACGTACTGTCAGTTGGTTTGGAATCAGGACACATACTCCTCTACTCCTGCAGTCTGGGCACCATGGAATGGAACCTGGCCCTCTCACTGGACCCCAGGTAACTGTGGGATTGTTGACTCTGAAACTGTCTGTTTTGACTGCTTCTTTCTCCCCCCCCAGCATCTGTCACACGGCAACCGTGAAACAGTTGTCGTGGAAACCGCATAACAGAACTGAAGACGGACAACCCGAAAGCGGTAGTGTTTTGGCATCTTGTAGCCATGACAACAGCGTTAAACTATTCAGAATTAGATTTTGTACAGATTGAGAAATAGAAGTACGATACAAGAAAATGATTTTTTTTCAACTTCAGAAGAATGTGGTGAAAGCAAAATAAAGAGGAGGCGTGGTGTTAAGAAATCCCTATTTTTGTGAAGAGTTGTTGTTTCTGCTTGTCAGAGAACCTAGCCAGTGCCGTGATTGGCTTTACTAGTTGCTGCAGAGAGAGAAAGAAGAGGGAGGAAGAGAGGGGGAGAAAGGAAAATGGGCAGGAGAGGGAGGGGGAGGAGGAGAAACAAGAGTGAGCGAGGAAGAAACAAAGAGTTGAGACAGAGAAAATAGATTGAAAGAGAGATGGTATATTGTCGCTTACCCTAGTCTGTCGTCCCATCATGTACTCAAATAGAACGTTCTTGAAATACTGCATGAGGGGAAATGGGGAGAAAATTACTTGCTGATGCTGTAATAGAACAGTGACCTACATCAAACTCCGCCCCCCGTGGCTCGGGTTCTAGGACGACATCACGAGAGGGCGTGTCTGGAACCGGAGGACTGTAGGAGTCCCTCCTAGTGGGTGTGGTCACGGAATTGGGCGTGGTTGGGAGCCCCACCCTCACCTGAGACTGGCGTACAGGAATACAGAGACATTCGGGATTGAGAAACATGACAAAAATGTGGAAGAGTATCAATTAAGACAGGCTCTGAAGTGCACAGTCTTTAATATGCACCACACTATAGGCCTGTCCGGTGTTTAAGACACGCAATGCCCACCTGTAGCCTCGTGTTTTCCTCTATCAGATTCTGAAGCTCCGACTCCTGTGAACGAAGGGTCTGTCGCTGGTCCCTAACCACTGACTCCAGTCTCATGATCTGAGCCGCAGAGCCGGTCAGTTCGTCGACTCTCCGTCGCAGGGCCTCAATCTCACTGTCCCTCTCCCCCTTCTCCTCCCCCTCATGCGTCTCACTCCGTGCTGCGTCTGCCGCCAATCGCTCACAGTCTCCCTCGACTCTCACAAGCTTCGTTTCCAATTCTCGCACACTTTCCAACGCACCCTTCTTCTCTTCCTCGCTCCTGTGCAAATCAGCAATCAACTTGGCTTTCTCCGAGTCAAACTCGACCTGCGATTCGTTCAAACGTTTTTCGAGTTCGTTTGCTCTCTGCTCCATTTCCCGAGCACGTCTCCCCATCTCTCCCTCCTCCCTTCCTCGTTCTTCTCTCATCTGCGATAGTTCCCTCTCCAGTTCTCGGTGGCTGCCCTGAACCTCGCTCAACTGCTGTCGTAACTTTTCCGTATCGGTTTTCAGTGCAGCAATCTCTGACTGGTGAGATTCGACCATTGTCATTCGCTCGGTGTTGGCCCGGACTAGAACCTCATCCATCTTTGATTTCCACTCGTTTTCCGTTCTCTCGGCTGCTCGCTCGGAGACTTTCACTTTAGATTTGAGTGCCTTCACCGTCTCTTCGCTCTCCTTCCTTGCCCTCTCTCTCTCCTCCTCCGCCTCCACTTTCTCTTTCTCTGTGTTGGCGAGGGTCTCTCTCAGCCGCTCCATCTCTTTCTCCATCTTGCCAGCACTTACCTCCATCTCCGACAGTCTACCTTCATGGGCCTTCTGGCTCTCTTGCGCATGGTGAAGACTTTCCGCTACCGTTTTAGATTTATCTTGCTCTTCTGTTAACCTTCCCGCCATCTGTTCGACTTCTGCTCTAAGAGATTGCTCTTGATTTTCCTGCTCCTCTCTTCGCTGTAAATCCTCCTTCTCTCTCTTCTCTTTCGAATGCTTCAAGTTTGCGATCTCAGCGTCAAGTAACGCTTTCTGCGAAGCTGCTTCAGACTTCATTCTCGCTACCTGTGCTTCCGCAGAGTTGACTAATGTTCTGAGCTCCACGGCTTGGCTGAGACACGTGTCTCGCTCGAGAAACGCTTTGTCTCTTTCCCGCTCCACCTCGTGAATTTTCACCTGCCATTCCTTGGCCTGCGCTGCAAACTGCGCGACCAGCTCTTTCTTTGCAGACGCAAGCTTTGCCTCTGCTTTCTTCTTGAACTCCAGTTTCTTTGCCTTGGCCTCGTTTTCAATCTCGACCACCCTCTCTTTCCACCCCCGCACCTCCTCCTCTTTCTCGCAAAGGAGAGCCTCAAAACGAGCAGTTTTCTCTCGTGACTCCTGCAGCTCTGAGCCAGTGTCTTGGGCGGCACTCAGCTTCAATTCAAACTCTCTCGATTTGGAGTGGAGCTGTTCGGCGAGCGAACCTTTTTCACTTTTCATTTGGGCAAAATCGGACTCGAGTCGAGTCTTTTCGTCGCAAACTGATGCAAATTGCGATTCTTTTTCGACCAGTTGTTTCTCGAGTCTCTCTTTCTCCTCCTTTAGCCTGGAAACCGCATCTTCCAGCGACTTTTTCTCGTCTTCCAGTGCCGATACTTGCGCCCCAAAAGAACCTTCATCGCCGCTTTCTCTTCCTCACATTTAGACTCGACGTCCTGATTTTTCTGCTTCCAAGAAGCCTCGACTTCTGCGATCTTCTTTTGGTATCTCTGAACAAGTTTCTGGTGTTTCTGCTTGGCGGCTGCCCCTTCTCCCTCCAATTCCTGTACTCTGACCTTTCCGGCCTCAATCAGCTCATGGAGGGTAGAGATTTCAGACGAGAATTGTCCCTCTGATCCTCGGCCTTCCCCCTCAGCTCACCGAGACTGGAGTTCAGCTGGGCCCTGTACTCCTCCCGCAAGCTCTCCAGTTCACCACGGCGTTCCTCTTCCAGAGCCCGTACTCTCTCCGCCAGTTTCCGTTCAAATTCGGCCTCCATTTTCTGTGCCGCGTCCGTCCCTGCTAGTGTCAGTTCCTCGCGCTGTTTCTCGTGCAGCAATGCCATCTCCTTGCTGTGGTGCTCTTTCACCGTCCTCAGTTTCTGCTGCAGTACTGCCTTTAGCTGAGCCGTCTTTTCCTTGTGCGACTTCTTCACCTCTTCCAGAGCAGCAGCGTGACCAGTCTCCGTTTCTTTCAGCTTAGCTTCAGCCTCTTGCGCTATCCTAGAAGCTTCCTTTAGTTTATTCTGCGCTTCTGAAACGCTGTGCTCAAGACCCACCCTCTCTGTCTCCCACTCCGAGTGACTCTTTGAGAACGAAGTTTGAAGTTCTTCTTTTTCCTTCACCACCACCCGCACCTCCTCCCCGAATGCCTTCTCACGAGTTGCAAGCTTTCCAGTCGCTGTTTCTCCTCCATCCACTCTCGCTCTCTCCCGGAAAACTCGGTCTTTAGTGCCTGCAACTCTTTTCCTAATTTCTCACGGATTTCGTTTTCTTTCGATTCCAACTCCCTCTTTAGTTCTTCGTGTTTCTCTCCCTCTCTCTCCTCTCCTCCTCTGCCCGACCGGCCAATTCTCTCTCCCTGGCCTCCATCTCTTGTTTATACTTCTCCTGAAGTTTTGCAATTTCCGTCGCGTGGGCATCCTTAAGTGCCTTCATCTTGCCCTGGACCACCTTCTTGAAGTTACTCACCCTTTCCTCGTGAGAATCCAGAAATTTTTTCCGCTCCGTTTCAAACTCCTGCCTCAGACCCTCCTCTCTGTGTGAAATTTCCTCCTCGAGAGCCGATTTTTCTTGCTTCCATTGAGCCTCGGATTGTTCGTGTTTCTCTCTCATTCCGTCCCTCTCTCTTTCCCACTCTGCCTCCCTGGACGAGCCAACCGCTTCCATCTCTGAGACTCGTTTCTCGAGGTCGCCTCTAGCCTTCTCCCACTCCTCCTCGCTCGATTTAAGCTTGTCCTCGCTCTCCTGAACTCGCCGCTCCAGCCCTTCTTTCTCTTGTAACCACTGCTGCTCCCTCGCAGTGGTGAATCCTTCTTCAAGAGTCTTCTTCTCGACTTCCCAGCCTTCGATTCTCTGCTGAAACTCCGCCTCTCGATCTCCGAGCTGTTTCTGTAGCGCTGCGTATCTCTCTTCGGCCTCGTGAGCAGTGGACGTCTGTTCTCTAGTCGACTGGGCAACTTCACTTCTCACTCTCTCCAATTCACTGGCGTTTTCTGTTCTGAGACTCTCCTGTTGGAGTCTGTGGCTTTCGTTCAATTCCTGCATCCGCTGCTTGTGATTTTCCTCCCGTGATTTCAGGGTCGCCTCGTGATCAGCTAGCTGGGACTGAAGGGCCTGTTCGTGAGTTGCCTGTTGCGATTGGAGAGCTTGCGCATGGTTCTCCTGCTGCAGTTGAAAGGCCTTTTGGTGGCTTTGCTGCTGTTCTTGAAGAGCCCTCTCATGATTAGCTTGCTGTGATTGAAGAGCCTGCTCATGATTAGCTTGCTCTGTTTGAAGAGCCTGCTCATGATTAGCTTGCTCTGTTTGAAGAGCCTGCTCATGATTAGCTTGCTGTGACTGAAGGGCCTGCTCATGATTTGCTCTGAGTGACTCAATCTTAGCTTCATAGTCTCTTCTAACAGTCTCAATCTCTCTCTCATGGGTAGACCGGAGCTGGTCGAGAGTTTGTTTGTGGTGTGACTGGGCTTTCCCAGCCACCTCCCTGCTGGCTAGTTCAGCCCTCTCTCTCTCAGCTGAAACTTCCGACTCAAGCTTTGCAACACTCTCCTCTGCAGTTTTCAATTCCGTCTCCACTTCCTCAAGGTGAGCGTGAAGCTTCTCCGATTCAGTCTCATGCTCGTGTTTTAGTTTCCGAACCTGTTCGTCCGCCTGTCCCTCTACCTCGTGTAGCCTGGTTTCCAGAGCGGTTCTGACGGACTCCAATTCCTGTTTGTGTCTCTGGGTAATCTCGTTTATCCTCTCCTCGCAACTGGTTTTACAGGACTCAACTTCCAGTTGGTGGGCTCGCGTCAACTTGTCTATCGTTTCCAAAGCAGTCGAGTGCTCCCGCCGTAACTTTTCCGATCTCTCCCTCTCCTCAGCTAACTCCTCGCGAGCTAGTATGAGTCTCTCTTCGCTCTCTTGTCTGGCCTTCTCCATCTCTATCAAGATCCTACTCTGAGCTTCTTCGGCAGTGGCAGTGAGTGTCAGTCTCTCCATTTTGACTCTCTTTCCCTGCGCCTCTTTCTCACGCTCTAGAGTTTCTCGACTCGCATCCAACTCTCGCCGAAGAGCAGTGATAGCAGCTTCTTTTCCCGATAGATTGGCTCTGAATTCGCTCATCTTCCCCGCCATTTCTTCCAACCGTGTTTCTTTCTCTGAAGATAGTTGTTTCGTTTCTTGATCTTTTGCCACCTGCAGTGCAGAGGATTTCTCTCTCTCAGTCTCCAGCTCTCTCTCTGAACTGACCAACTTGGACTCCAGCCCTTGTATCATTTTTTGGTGCATTTCTTTCACTTCATCAATCTCCCTTTTCAGCGATTCGACTTGTGAGGAGAACTCTGCCTTTTCTGTCTCCAGTTCCTTCACTCTAGAACCGAACCTCTTTTCGTTCTCGTGAAACTCCTCATCCTTCTTTTTCAACTTTTCCTCCTTCTCTACCAACTGTTTCTCCAAACTGGCCACATGCTCTTTCTCTTTGTCTGCGAGAATCAATACTTGCTTTTCCAGTCCTCGTTTCTCTGACTCGAGTACTTCATTCTTCTCTGTTAAAGCTTCCAAAGACTCTTGGAGACTTTTCACCTGGCTCTCGAGTTCCCTTCGCATCTCCTCCTTCTCCTTCTCCAGCCTCCCGCGGTCCGTTTCACCTCTGTCTGTCTCTTCAACTACAGCCCTTTCCCTCTCCATAAGCTCTCGCCGTAACTCCTGAAGTTCTTCATTTAACTGAGTGCCCTCCTTCGCCGATGCTCTGTGTTTTTCCTGCAGCACCGAGTTCTGCTCGCGAATTTGTGCGACAATCTTTTCGTTTTTCGCCGCAAGACTTTCGAGACTCTGCCGCAGTTTTTCCTCTCTCTTTGCCGAATTCTCTTTCCCCTTCTCCACCTCACTCCGGAGTTGTTTCAGAGCTACCTCCTTCACCACAAGCTCCTCTCTCAGACTTTGAACGACGGACTTTGTGTTTTCAGTCTCTCTCTGCAAATGTTCAGTTTCGGTTTTCGGCCCTGGAGGAGGAGGAGGAGGAGGAGTGGGAGTGGTTTCATCTTTGTGCGTTGAAGGTTTGTCTTTATTAGTGTCTGGTTGAGGAGGTGGTGGTGGTGGGGGTGAGTTGAGGACCTTTTCTGGTGTGGCCTTTGCTTTTGACGCTTTTAGCTGCGGGAGGGAGAGAACTAGTAGTGAATTACATCCCCTTGTTGTCCGCCAGACTGGGTTACCGCTTGTGGTAGCAGCTTCGATAACATACACATAATAGCCTGTATTCAACTCCACTTGCCCAAGAAAAGTATTCCACCAGTAGTGAGGACAATAGAGACACTAGGTGTTCGTCAAACAAGAGTGTATATTGGCGTACGTAAAACTCAGGAAATGACAAACCCAATACTCCCATTCCTCCAAACTACCCCCATCTCCCAGCTCTCTCTTCTACTTATATATACTCCTTCCAGGAATGGACATAGGTAATAAGAGTATAGCTAGAAGCCATGGCAACTTGCGTCCTGTCACTATAGCTCACTCACACCACAGAAGCCAGCTGCCTCTGTGGGCTGTTGTGACGTCCACTAATTGGTTCTCATCCTATGATGTCACACCTCGCCAATTACACCTACATCGACTCTCATGAAGCTGGGGTGTTCTTCACACACAGCAAGTGCATATCAACTATATACACCAAAGTACACCAATGTGTAGTTACTACATAGCCACAAAGAGCACACCCTAATACGCGTCCATGACAACTATGTTATCTTACAATATAGTAGCCTATAATCTGCACGATTACGGGACTGTAAACATGTGTTACTCCTGTAGGTTCCTCATGTTAGCCTGTTACATCACATGGCAGCATGTACATGAAATTATAGTTCATAGCATACCAGACATGTACATGTATGTATGTAAATCTAGTCTATATTATACCACCACACCCTTCTTAGTCCGGCCTACAATGTGCACGATAATGGGTCTGTAAGCATGTTTATATGTAGATAGACACTGAGAAAATATGCATGTAGTGGGAGTGGTAGTGGGAGTGGGAGTGGGACACAATGAGGTGTAACGGGAGTGGGAGTGGGACACAATGAGGTGGGACAATAAGGTAATAATAGTCGGGGTGGTATTATACAGGTAGGTGTAAAGTGCAGATGCTGATTTGGACGTATAGCGTTTGAAGTTGAATAGGGAGGCAATAAGATAGTGAAAACACCCAGTGAGAACAATATATCGGTGGATGGATTGCGTTTCCCGATCAAACACAAGCCAATTAGAGCTCACGTATCGTATAATGACCCTCCCAATACCAGGGGCTGTGCAATATAAACAAATATTGTATAGACCCTCCTATATTTATAATGGGTAATTACAAGGCAAAGGCAGCAGACGGAGCGAGCGTACCCGGCGCTATCCGAACGAAAACATCATCTGGACTAAGAAAACGACCCCCGAGAAGTGCTCGGCCGGCCGTGGGTGACTTTCAGATGCAAATTAACTATGTTTCATGTACAGGCGTACGGCAATAGAGAGCGTTGGTTTGCACCCAGGGAACTTGTGTAATATAACCTCCCTCTCTCTATTTCAATCAACAACAAGTGACGCACGAACCTCTGTAGCCAGTGAAGGAGCATGCAGCGCCGATACCATTCAAACAAAAACAATAGAGCTTTTTGATTGCACCTCCCCCTACACTACAGGGACAGGCATTACACAGCCACAATATTATAGTTACTCTTGCATAATGTCATATAGTAAACTACAAGCCAAGTTAGCAAACCACATTGTAGGAATGTCAAATTTACTTGAAATAAAGACGGCAATTAGCAACTATATTCCACATTAAAGAAAGCTGCGTGTAACTCTAGATTGTAGCCCATCAAATATTCCCAGAATAATTCAACCACGGGGGGATATTTTTGATTATTCAATCCTTCCCCCAAAATTTCCAAGATTTTTCAAAACCACAACACAGCTAATGAGGCCAGGAAGGCTCAATTTCCACGCAGCAGGGCTCCAGGAATGCTGAGAGGAAGTAGATAAAACCACAAGGCATCCTATCACTATGCAACTACTACTACAGGCAAACCTTTTCTAGTATGTTGTATTAAACTGTTGCCGTGGTGTCATACGACATCACAGAGAGCCTAGTTGCCAGGACTCCAAGTAAGAAGTGGGGAAGAATTTCGACTTTAGTTCCAGTAGTGAAGCTGCCTAAACTCCACCTAGCACATGACAGACTCAACCACAAAGTTCCACTGCTCTGTGCAGTGTAATCAAACAACATGAGAAAAGAAGCCCCTACATATAAAGAAGAACTATGCACATGTATTTACAAACCTTGAACTGTGCTCAGAAGCCTGCGCGATATTATTACTATTTACAAGAGGAACATCGATACCACACCACGCCGCTGTAAAAAGTAATCGTTCGTCGAGAGCGGGAACTTTCACGGGTCAAAATGTTTCGTGGGAGTGATTTACAGTATGCGAGCCATTGGAAATGATTTTTTCCTGCGAAATATTGTTTGGGTTGGAAGAGTTGTATAGGGGACTGTACGTATGTATATATAGGAATCCTGAAGCTTTTTTTCACGACTTTTCTATACGGAATAATACAATCCTCTCGTAATGGGATATCACTAGAAAATGGAGACGTTTATTTTGTTATCCATTTTCGGTATGTAAATGGACAAATACACACACCTTTTCTTGTTGGAGATGGACAATCTTTTCTTTGGCCAGTCGAAGGCCTTCCTTGTACTTCCCTAGTACGCCTTCCAAACTTGATACCTTGGGAGGGAAGAGACGGGGAGGGAGAGGGTTAAAACTTGAAGAGGAGAGGAGTGAGAGGGTTAATACTTGAAGAGGAGAGGAGAAAGAGGGTTAAAACTTGAAGAGGAGAGGAGAGAGAGGGTTTAAACTTGAAGAGGAGAGGAGAGAGAGGGTTAATATTTGGAAGAGGAGAGGAGAGAGAGGGTTAAAACTTGGAAGAGAAGGTTTTAGATGAGAATAGAATGGAGAGCGAGGGTTAAACTTCAAGACTAGGTGAGAGAGTGTTAAAATCTAAGACAACAAGGGGAGAGAGGGTTAAAGATTTAAGAGAAGGAGAGGTAAGAGAGGGTTTTAAACTAAGGGAGAGAGAGAGGGTTAAAATCTAAGACAATTGGGAAGAGAGGGTTAAAAATCTAAGACAATTGGGAAGAGAGGGTTAAAAATTAGGTTAATCAAACGACATTCAGGGAGATTGATAAGGAGGAAGAAAACACAAATTCTGGGAGGAGATTAGGAACACAGGAAGGACATGTAAAACACAACAAAGGCCCAATGTTTTCACCAGTAGAGCTGAGTACAAATTTCAGAGAATTGATAGTTCAGCTGAATCCCAGGAGCTGACTATAGCCCGGAGGATGTCTGGAGAAGCCGCTTCCTCTCATCTTCCTGTTCTCCCATAGTAAACTTGGCATTGTACCAACTCAGCATAGTACAATATACGCCAGCTACACCCACACTGTATATACTCATAATAACATACGCTATGAGAACATCCTGCCACAGCTAAACCCACCGTTGGGATAGGTTTACAGTATGTTTATGAGCACACACCGCTTGTACAGATATGTAATTCACACATCCCTATCAGCGTTCCTTAAACATGTGGGTTACCTTACTTTCACTGCCAGTATAGTGAATATGTTAGTACACATCCTTCTACAGTATATCCTTACACGCCTACAACTCTGTCAAGCTTTATGTATATTAGCTGTTCACCACCGTGACTAATTCAAAATGGATGAGTTCCTCTGCAGTACAAACAGTGAATAGTGCATAAATACTGACTGAATGGGCTAGGCACACGGTACATCCTTGCTGATGTGAGAGAGGGGTTAATGAAGCATGATGAAGCATGCGGTAAAGCAGGTGGGGCTAGCATGCTTACTTCCGAACCGACACTAGTAAAAATACCTAGAATTCCACGGCCATTGACTGAGATTTGATACGCTAACGGCAGAAAAAGCACCGACATCACAGTGCTTACAGACCCAACACAAAACCCGTTAAATGCCGAGATTCCAAATTCCACATTCCGAACGAATCGAATTCAGGCATTCCTTCAGACACTTCATTCATGCAAACATGTTGATATTTCTGCGTGATTATCAAAAATTACAAGGCCATATCCATTGCTTCCATCTATCTCCGACCAATTGTGGGCCAACACCACACAAACACGCTATTGGATATCAATTAATTTTATCAGAGGCATGTACAATAAGGTTATAATCATACATTTCTAGGAGGGTTTGTTTATTGTACCAAGACAGCATGTGTAGGTGATTAAGTACATTGGTACATACATACCAGGCATGAGCTCAAGTAATACGATACTAGCACATGTGCTGCATACACACACACTCCTCTAACAGGCATGTATATACGGTAAGTAAGTGGGTAAGTAATGCGATTTTCGCACATCATGACGTACGTGTGTGTGTACACTTGTGTTTGAGCTTAGGGGAGAGAGGGGAGAGAGGGAGAGAGAGGAGAGAGGAGAGCTGAGGGAGAGATGTGACTAATGGTCTACGACAGGCTTGCGCGCTCTTTTGCTCTCTGTCCGCTTTTCTCTCGAGTGCTGTTCCTCTCGATCTCGCTACATTTCTCTCTTCTACTACTCTTCCCTCGATTTCTGCTCTTTCTCTACCTTTCTCGTAGAGCTAGTCGAGAGTAGGCGAGAGATGAGAGGAGCGAGCTGCAGAGAGAGAAGAGTACCTTTTCTTTCAATTTCAGAATCTTCGCTTCGTTTTCTCCAGCTTCTGCCGCTAGACAAAGGAAAGAGACAAAGAGAGTAAGAGAAGGGAGGGAGGGAGGGAGGGAGGGAGGGAGAGAGAGGAAGAACTCAGAAGGAAGGTAGAAGGGAAAGAAGAAAGAAGGGTGCCGGGCACCAACAGTCGGCTGCCAGCCAAAAGTCTCTACCACTCAGTGAGCTCACAGCATGACAGACACATGCTCCATACATGCAGCAGACACACACACATTCACTCTAATATTCAGCCCTGACTCCCAGAAGTGTAGTTGTATACATCTCTTCCTTCCTATTATTCTCCCTACCGGTTTTACTCCATGTAGCTACCTGTGACTACACAATACTTGTAGGAAGCCACATGATTGCTAGGCAACTCGCTAGCAACCTGGCAAGGGCCACAGGCAATGACATGGTCACAGGGATCAGCTGAGGTCAATATGAGGTTGCACCCACACCACCCACACTGTACCCCTACCCACTTCCCCTCCTTAATGGTCGCTAGGCACAGGTCACCCTAGCAACCACAACTCTGCTATTATATATATTATGTACTGTAAATATGAAAGGTTTAATTTGTGTGGAAATTGTCTTAATTACAGGGACTTACCCTCATTGGCCTGTGGATTGGGTGGTTGTATGAGTTGCTCCTTCAACAGACGGACCTAATTATGGGAAGAAAATTTCGAAATTTCGACAGCTGATATCATTAATTGGTGGGAACAAATTTCTGCATAACTTCACACACTCACACATCCAATAAATGAATTCCAAGAAAGGTGCCATGAAATTGGCTGAAAGGAGCTGACAATTACAAGGATGTGGGAACGCGAACAAGATGCCTGCATTTAACCGTACCTCAAATGTCTCGGGTTACTAACGTGGCACCACAAAGACACAAGATTACACACATCCCCCACACACACACTCTTCACCTCTCTCTCTCTCTCTGGCCCAGACCAAATAAACCCGCTTTACCAGATTGTTGCCGGGGGCAACACAACAAACATGCCCCATTGCCCAATCAGGCGTGACAGGACCGCCCCAGAAAAGGCCCCTCTTGCGGCCTTGTTCTAAAGTCCCCTGGGAGTCACACCCTTGTCTCGGGAAAGACTAGAACCCACAAGTCTGCGAAACTATCATGTGACTCAGATATTTGTTGCAGTCAGTGGCTTTGACTCATACAGAGCTGTAGTCAAATCATGTGTAACTGTAAGAAGGCAAAGCTCGGTAATTTCATGAATTTCATGATAAAAGTGAAACTCCGTAAGTATGATAGAAATGAACTTCCTTTACGAAAAGCAAGCAGCTATTGAGTTTGCCAGTAAAGGCACGCAGGAAGGTAAACGAGCTTGCAGCTCCCTTTGGTATGATGTTGTATTGATGTCAAAGCAAAACTTGACATTGCCTAATGCGTTTGATGGAACTGGCATCATTGAAAGTGATTGATCGTGTGGGCAATGTTTAGAAAAGATTTTGGTGGGGGAAACGACAATAAGACAGTCCCACGTGAAATGGGACAAATCCTCAGAGAAATACACCCTAATAGCTATTCCCCCATCTCTCCCTTCTCCATCTCCTCCCTTGGCTCTCTCTCTTCATTACCACAAGTGACAAATCCTCAGAGAAATACACCCTAATAGCTATTCCCCCATCTCTCCCTTCTCTATCTCCTCCCTTGGCTTTCTCTCTTTCATTATCACAAGTGACAAATCCTCAGAGAAATACACCCTAATAGCTATTCCCCCATCTCTCCCTTCTCCATCTCCTCCCTTGGCTTTCTCTCTTTCATTATCACAAGTGGGCTCTTTAAAAAAATAGGTGGGCTCTTACAGTTCTGTACTAATAGGTAGGCACGTACTTACACACCAATTAGCCTACTTGCAAAGCTGTCCTTATTCTAAGATGTCCTATTGTCCTGATTTGGCTTTTCTTACAAAAGTGTCCTGACTGGTATGCCTTCAATGTTCATACAACTAACACTAGCCACTGGTAAAGTCCCCATTGGCTAGCAGCTCTGGAATGCCAAGAATGTACCCTCAGAAGAAGCTGACCCTAGTCTAAAATTGAGGATTTAGTAAGAACCGTGATGCCTCATCCAGGTGCAAAGTCATTGTTAGTCCATCCTCTGAAATAGTGTGCAGGGCTTTGTTTTGGGGAAAGTGCAATTGTGTGACTGTATACTTCCTGCTAGTTAAGAGCCAAACTATCAGTTCACACCTATAAGAGCCCAGAGCCCTCACATTACTTCAGATATGTAAGGGCCCACCTATGTAATGGGTAAGAAAGAACCTGCCCAATGGTAAGAGCCCATCTATTAGGCACCTATTAGTAAGAGCCCACCCAATTGAAGAAAGTTCGATGCAAAAAGCCATTTCTACAAAACGAAACGGACAAATGGTACATGCACAGGCCCATCATAACCATACATTGATCTTGTACCATACAGCCATAGCATTACATTCACTTTCAAGTATCCTAGGAACCATAGCTATACATATATGGGCAAATGGGTAGTGTCATATGAGGCCATAGAGGTAGGTATATATACACTGGAAGTAGTGGGTGGATACTAATTGGCATTGCACTCCACTGACATTATTGGCACCCCATCACCAGCTATATATAGTGACGAAACCACAGGCTAAAAATAGCAGCGGTTCTATATACGGGGATCTACGGTATTTTGTTTCAAAAATAAGACACTTGTATACACGTTGTGGAAAATATTCGGAGTGTATTTCATCGAGATGTTCATATCCGGTCAATCTGAGACACAAGCTATTTCAACGCTGTACATATGATGCAAGAGAGGTGAGACAATAGTAATAAACACCACATGGGGTGCTCTACAAATTGTTCAGATCTCATGATGTAACCACAGTAGTTCTAAAATTACACGAGCCACTCTCCCCTCTTCCTGCCATCTCCCCATGCAAGCTAAGCTGCCTCGCTAGCAATCAGTAGCTTACACTACAAGCAACATCTGCTGTCATCATTTGAGAACTTGTTATTGGGCTAAAAGTGTCCATTTCCTTTAACTACTATATACAGTAAATAGATTAGAGTGGTACTATGATCTTGTGAACAGGTGTAAAAGCTTACAGCCAGGTGGGTGAGTAAATGACTTAATCTTATAATGGGGCAGTGTAGCAAGCATAATATGGCAGCTAATGGCTTAGCTAAACAATACTTGACACACAATCATGGATTAGGATGATAAGGCCTTATGATACTGAGGCAATAGATTATCATAATAGTGACACGGGTTTACCTACTGATCTTCTATTATAATGGGAGGATAAACTTTTTATAGGCTCTGTCAAGGGCAATACATCGCATAAACACCCAGAAAGATTGCAACTATAAGATGGTAATGGCTTTATATGAAGCACTAGATACTGTATAAAACATTTGTGTACTTTCCAAAAGCACGTTTAGCAAAATGTGAATAGCAGGGTGTGTGGTGTATATATGTGCTAGAAACCTTTGAGATCTCGTAAAATTGAAGTTTTAAGTTATACAGGAGGTGGGCGGAGCACTTTATATGTAATTGCACAATAGTTTACGAATAATTAAATTAGGTTTGTGCACCTTAACAACACTAAACAAAGCAATACATCTCTGTTTGGAAATAAACAGAACAAAACACACACACAAGTGGAGGAAGAGAAATTGTGTGTCCAAGTTTGTTCAAATGTTAATAGTGGAGTTCAAGTTTATTTGAATACAATAACCCGAATATTGTGGTACAATTATCTGTTGTTATGTCCTGCGAAACCGAATCCACCATATTCTGTTACCCGTACTGCACAACCGAGTGGTGAAGATGAATGAAGATATCGAAAGGGATTTGGAACAGGGGACGGATTGGCTCAGATTACAACAGTTTGCAAACAAATGTAAACAAACACACATTTTTTATAATATTGCTCATATGTATCGTTTGTATATATACAGAGGAAAACATAACATGCTGGAGGCATGTTCTAGTTGCATGATTCCCAAGAAACTCAAGAAACTCGAATTCTTGCCAGCTCAAAAACGACAGAAGACTTGAGAGGGAAAAAATGGCAAACACGTGAATTTCATAGCTAATTCCACATTCACTGTGAGGGAACTCACATGTGGTCAATGAATAACGTTATCAAATCCCAGGGGTTTTGCGCACTGCCAGGCAACTAGGCGGACGGACAGTGAAATGGTAGCTACCGAAAGGAAAGAGAGATTGACAAATGTCCCCGACTACCATGTGGCCACCTCTGATTTCTCAGCCCACATATAGTATTATTATTATTTATCTCGACGATTACATCACTTTAACCTATATCGTTCATTACATCACTTAAACTGCCAGTTCATTTTTCCTTATATGACTGAATGCAAGCAAGCTATGGCATATGCAACACATGCTACACACAACACATCACCAGTATGCTATTTCAAGCAGCAGCAAAGAAACATTTGCCTAGACATACACACACACGCACGTAAAGTGGGGACTTATCGTAGAGAAGATAACGGAATCTAAATGGAGAAAATGCATGGAATTTGTGTTGTTTTCACTCGTAAATGGAGGAATGAGACGTCCGCCGCATGTCAGAGTGGAAAAATCCGAGGGAAGTAAATATTTGCCACTACACGTAAAGCAAACATATCAGTTCAAAGATCGCATCGTACGCGGTTCACGTTCGTTTGCCAAAAATGTCCGGAATTCGGTTCAGCGCTATTGACGATTGAGCCTGTAATTACGGCATTTTTACATCAAAAGAGGGTTACTTACTCTTCCATGACAGCTATGCAATGAATTCGAGGGACAAAAGACACAATCACTTTAAATGGTACCACACACAATACCACGGGTAGATAGAGAAGGACCAGGTACATATATATATATTAACTTTAGCATCCGTTGAACATACGAAATCAGCCCTCACGAATATAAACACACTCGGTTACAGTAAACAACTGATTACGGACACTTCAAAAGGTAAATATAAACACGTCCAAAGCAACCGTCTCTACTGATCTTTTGAAGACACGGGAGATCAAAATAGCACATCCAGGGGGGGCGGGTGGGCGGGCTGTTACGTGTATGTGTAAGAGAGGACGGTATAATTGAACTTGCTGATCTTGTACACAAATGATTTGTAATCTGCCAGCCGGCCCAGCCAGCTAGGCAGCATGTAATATGGTGGGCTCTTACCTGCATGTTACAGCACAGTCAATGATTGCTTCAAAGGGTAGCCCTATATAATATATAGCACACTCAATAATGGGAAGCAAGCACCCACCCACATTTAGTATACTTAAGAGCATATAGTCACTAATTGCTCTAATCAGCAAAAGATCAAAGAGAAAGCTACCGCCTAACCACCAAGTGAGCTCTTATTCATAAGAGCACCCCACACACCATAAGAGCACAGTCAACAATATTGCTCTAAAGATGAAAGAGCTATATAAGCGCCCACCTACCCACAAGAGCAGTCAACAATATTGCTTAAAGATGAAAGAGCTAAATAAGCGCCCACCTACCCACTAGAGCAGTCAACAATATTGCTCTAAAGATGAAAGAGCCAAATAAGCGCCCACCTACCCACAAGAGCACACACACCAATACAACAGGAAGTGGGTTTACCAGGAACAGGCCTACAAAGCCTTCTCTCCTTTGATGTGACTAAAGCTTGGAAATTACGACTGCTTTGAAGTGGTCCCAGCAGCAAACACATCTCGTGAAAATCCACAGGAGTTGGTCTGTGAAAGATACCCTTCAACCTCCATGCAAAGGCTATACACTCCCCTTTGAACTGTATGCAGGGTATATATTGTATAATAATGTGAACATGTTGGGAAGAAAGGATAGGTGAATGGGGTATGTTGACTTGAGGCCATAAAGGACCGGCATAATCTACCACTTCTGGTGTCTCATTCTGGGCACACTTATATTATGACATGAAAATCTCAAATGTGTGGGCATAATGCAGGACAACCTGTGTCATCCCTATAATATACTAAGTACTACCGTACCTAGTGATGGTATGAAAACTAACAATACACAAAGTACAGTCTATAGCAGTGTAAACAGCAGTGTTAGCTATGCATGCATGCACATAGCTGTGCACACACTGCGATGCAAGGCGTGTGTATTCACACCTCCTCACGTGGGGCAAAGCAAACCCCAAGCCAGCTGCCGCGGCGAAATAGAAGGTTTGTATTTCGTCCTCTGAGTAACCAAACAGGCTATCCCATGACACACATTTGGACCCAGCTGGCTCGCCCAACGCTTCAGTCATCCACTAATGACTGTACAATATTATATTGCGGTGGAGAAAACTACACGCCAGCACAATATGCCGCACTATATACCACTTGCTAGCACAATACACAGTGCTATATACCACTTGCTAGCACAATACACAGTGCTATATACCACTTGCTAGCACAATACACAGTGCTATAAGTATATACACCTCAATACGTAGTATAATTATACTAAACCACGCAGGTGGATTTAATCCCACCACACCAAATGTCATTAAGAGAATGTTTGTTTGAAACACATGTGGGAAAAGTTGGTACACAAGGTCAAATTGAGCGGGAAGGCCAGCCAAGGTGAGTAGTGAGTCCAGTCCAACACACACACACACACAACTGACAGGGATGGAATGTTGATAGGTTTGTTACCAAAGAATGGACAAAGTATGTGGGTGAGTGGCATGTGAAATATTAGGTGAAAGCTTCTGGTAGGCAATTCCATGAAAGGGGATGGACCGCCACATCAGTAGAGTTGTTCCCATAAGAGTTGGTAAAATCAGGACACTTTTACTTAGGGACGCCTCTTATTTTGCGTGTGTCCTGATCCAAGTAATTGGCAATTAACCTCTGCTAAAAATAGAGGCATAATGTAATGTCCAGGCCTACTATTTTTAACCCCAAGCTCTCCACAGCTAGGCAACAAGCAGCTGTGTTACTCCTGGGTTTCCTAGCAACCAATCAACCCAAATACAGCCCACCTTCAGTTTCCATAAACAAGGAGGCAGTAACAATATTTACCTCTCCACATTAGGAAACACGGCTCGGTAACTATGTACACACACCCATATCCCTGCGCTATTCATCTTTCAACACAAACATTATTCACGATAACAAACAAGATAGTGGTATTTTGCACGTAATTCATTTACACAAGGGATTTGGGTAGTGGCTTGTTTTGGTAGGAATTCCCATTGAACCTTCTAACCGCATGGCCACAGCAGCTCCAGCTGAGATGACATAATGTTGCCGCTATTAGAGAGATTGTTTACTCCAATCCTCTTTCTATTCATATGGGCAAGAGAGGTGGGGAGGACATGAGGTCAGATACACATCAAGAAAAGTTTCCCAGGAAGGATGGACTTTAGCCATTTTCAAACAATACTATACCCACAATACCTCACTATTCCATAGTTTAATAGAGTTTCATTTCTATGTAGCCCTGAATCTAAAAGGGCTTGTTTACTGAGCCTTCTTTGTGTGTTTGACTGTATCTAGCATTATAGATGTATGGGATTATGGCGGGGAGTTTACAGCCAAGTAACAATAGAATGCAACCCAGTCAATACAGGAAGAAGAATAAGAGAGAGGGAAGGAGGAGAGGGAGAGAGGGGAGAGAGGGGAGAGAAAGTTATAGAGATAACAGGAAGATGAGCGAGCTGTGTTTAGTCTTCACACAAAAAGACGATTTTCCTGGCGCCGTGGGAACAGGGTCGAATCCTCTGGCAAATGTGAAAGAAAAGGCAGCTGTCACGCAAACCCCTTCAGCCCTGTAGGCTCTGTATGTGGGGCTGTGGGAAGGACCAGCTGGCAAGCTGGGTACATACGGTAATTGATTCCCGCCACAAGCAATATAGAAAACAGGAAGACTAAAGGACCAGTGATCACATTACGCGGATTTACAATCACTTAACACCTTTATGCTCAATTAGATATCCGTATCGCCTTACAGTATCAAAATATCATCAGAACGTCCTTCCGGTTATGACCTACGGAGACCGTCCAATCCTGAAATTGCGCAGCCTGTTTGTTTACATTACACCATAACGGCAGCTAGTTTACAGAGGGGGAAGAATTTGCGGTTTCGGGCAAACATACAAACCTATCATCTGTGAAAATATTTGTCTGGAGTAGTATAGCTATCTGCAAATTTTTTTCGCCCAAATGTTACAATACAATAATACCTGTGTCTGCACGACATTGATTTTCTCATCTTTCTCTTCAAGAGTTAGTCTGAAGGTGTCTTCCATCTGAGCTTTAGCCTGAGAGAGAGAGAGAGAGAGAGAGAGAGAGAGAGAGAGGAAACCAAAAAGAAGGCCACCTTAGAGTAGTCAGGGGGAAGGGGAAAGAGTTAGAAGATTCTTGAGGGAGAGACATGGAAGATAAGACAAGATCATCCCTCTACCACAAGAACTCCGGAGCTTTGTGCAGTGGGAAAGAAATGCGAGTTCTAATGTTCTAAGGAACACTGATTTGTGGAGTTAGGGAGATAAGGCCTGTAGTGGAGGCAGGGAAATGTTACAGTGGGCTGTCCTGTACAATACTGGCCCTGTAGATATCATAACTACAGGGTACTAGGGTGCAAGGCTGTAGTAACAGTGGGGATTCTTTAGAGGGAAGAGAGGTGAGAAGATAAGGAAGCTGGAGTTAGTGAGGGAGAGAGAAAGATGGAGGGTGAGAAGATATGGAAGCTGGAGTTAGTGAGGGAGAGAGAAAGATGGAGGGTGAGAAGATATGGAAGCTGGAGTTAGTGAGGGAGAGAGAGAGAATCTGAGACCAGTTGGTTTAGTTCTTGGACTTCACTCATCTCCCTCAATTTCCTCGACAGTTTCTTCTCCGTCTCGGCGGCTGCAACCTGCGACTTCTGAAACTCCGACTCCAAAGTCTTGTACGCTTCCATCAACTGCACACACACACACACACACACACACACACACCATGCAACAGTGAGTTAAACAAAACACCGTTTTATTGAAAAAAACTTCTGAAGCAAAAATAACTTTTGCACAGTTCCCGAGCAGTTTTCTCCACGAAATAATGTAATGTAAGGGTATTGAGGGACAGACATGCTGGGATATAGTTTTCTCCAAAAATATTGCTACAGGCACATGGGATTTGAGGGAAAAAACTCGAAAGTGTACGGGTAAAACCATGGCGGCTTGTTCACTAACATGACACGTTGCTATTCACTTAATCGGAAGAGGTTTGCAATAAGGAATTTTAGTAAAAAGATTCCCCAGTTCTGTATGTAGCAGAAGTAGAGTTTAAAACGTGTGAGTCTCACACCTCGTGGAACCGAGTCTTGTAGCGTAGAGTTGTCTGTCTCTGTTTCAGCATCAGACCAACCAGCTCCGAGTGGGGGGTGCTCTCTAATTGGGAGTGGAGGTCACCGATGTCTTCGGGCGGGGCAGATGTGGGTGTGGCTGGCTCCAGAGCCGGCGACGATGCCTAGCAACGAACACACCAATAAAGTCAGCCACAGGCGTAAAACAAAAAACGAAATTAACTCTTTTCTCACTAAAGGAAGATGCAGTGAGAGCACTAAAATAGCGAGGAGAAATCAGAAGTGAAATTCACAGCTAAAAGGCAAAGTTGGGAATAGTATATACTACATATGTACACTTACAAAGGGAAAAATGAGCAAAGTAAAAATATTTCCCAACTGAAAATAGCAGCAGCTTGTGGTAAAATACGTGTTGTTGAAATCATCCCTGAAAAGGGTATTTTTTCTAAAAGTGAGTATAGCACGTAATGGCCACTAAAGAAGAAGGCAGGGAAATTAGGACCAATGTATGTAATTGAGGGAAATTAGGTGGTGAGAGTGTGCCCATGGGAACATATGCAGTCTTGATTCGATCAAGTGCCGTCAGATTAGCCGGCAAAAGGTGGTTTTGGCTTCTGCTGACAAACATGTCGTTGCAGCCAGCTATCTTGCCGCACACCGTGCTAGCTGGACACCTCTCTTGTGTGTGCGTGCGTGTGTGTGGTACTGTGAAGGAATGAAGTTAGGCGGGAGATTCCAGCGCTGCTCTAAAATGCTACCCACTGATGCAGCTAGCCTGTGTTGGAGCGATAAACTGACAGAGACATTGTACCACTCACAATTGTATGTGGTCCTATTGTATGACATGCTAACAGGCTAGGCTTGTATGCACACACGTGTATCTGTTGCAGCACACCAGACTCCAAACCAGACTCCAAGCCTACCTGGAAAATGATTGTGAAAGCAGGCATTAATAGTGGGCTTTTCAGGGCCCTGACTCTGCCATACATCTGTGTGTATATAACTTCCCTTCCTATACACAGGGACATGTGTATGTACACACAAGGTCTCCTTCATGTAGAGCATAGAGTGGTGTAGGCTTCCTAAGCCAGACAGTCTTCCTGAGTCTGATCCACACAAAAAAAGGGGACATTCATGGATTCATAAGGGGCTATGGGAGACGGCATCTTTCAACCGTGCCAGCCCTAGAAGAAGTAACCCTGCAGCCTACCCACCATACACTACACCCCCATATTATTCACAGTGTACACAGACACTATATACAGTGTGCCATAGCTAGGATTTAGCGAGGATCTAGATGGCTCCTTTCTCACTGATACTCCAGTACACAAGAGTATGAACAGTGACCTGCACAAGAGAGTGTCGATCAGCCTAGTAAAAGGTACAAAGGCAGGGCCAGTTAGTTGGTTTGACAACATATGGATTTGTGGAACTTCCGCCACTAGAGAAAGCTGTGTGGGAGGTGTTTTGCTTTACTCCTGTTTATTCAGGACCTCAGCTTTGCTAATCAGATACTTTATAGAGGTCAGGACATTTCTAATCAAGACACTTCACACCTCCTTAAGGCACTGATCAGGACACCTTTCTAGTCAGGACACCACACTGATCAGGACACCCCTCCAATCAGGACGCCTCTCTAATCAGGACACCCGCCCTATACATGTATGACTCAACACACTGCGATCAAAAGCTCAGAAATTGAAAGAGAACACGAAAATCCCATAGAAGGATGCATGTCATAGCATGCCACGTCAATAAGGTACCAAATATTGAAAGGGTCACCAACCACTTGAATAAACACTAGAAACCGAGTTACGTCTCTTCCCAAGAACAGGACTTTTCCTAGTGTACCTACACTGTTAAGAAAACATTGATGTCCTTAGCAGTCCAGAAACGTCACAATTCTTAACTGTTTTATAGCCTTTCGAAGGAATGTAGCAAAAGTGGATTTCTTGCACAAGCGTGCCAGTCCAGCTACAAGGCCAGTAGATAAATAAGGATAACATTATACCCTCGTTGTACTACGGTCGCATGTGAAAAATAGGGTTAACACTTGTAGCTAACTGAGTCTCCACATGTGTTCTGGTTGGTTCGAGTGTACTGAACCTTCTTCTCTGTGGGCGTATTTACATGGGATTACGTGGAAACAGTTGCTACGACAGAGAACGAACGATGGAAAACAAATGGGAACGGTATGCGATTATACCACTTTCCCACTCGCCCTTTGCTTGCCAATGTTCAATACGTAACGTAGGGAGCTGTATATTACTATTTCCTGAGAAAGGAACCAGTGTTAATAAGGAGTTGATTTAACCCCATCGATACTGCCAAGGAATTAATTTAATCCCATTGAGACTGCATCCCAACAGAGCCCCTCACCTTTCGTGACTCCTCCGAGGGTGTCGGTCCCGGGGTGGTTGCCGGGGACGACTGGAAACTGGTTGCCGTGTCGACGACCCTCTTCCTCCATCTTCCCCACATTCCAGACGAAGGGGTCGCAGATGATGGGGGGGTCTGGGGATCTGTGGGTTCCTAATTTTAAACAAAGATACAGTGGTGGCAGGGTAACTAGGGTGGCCAGTGAATTCAATCCCACAATCCCAAAAACACTACACCAAATAGCTCATAATTGAATTGTTCCCCTGTTGGAGTGATGAATAATTGCCATGGTGAATTACGTAAGCTTACGTAAGCTCACGAATGATGCACGATGCCGTGAGATTTCTGTTACGTAATATTTAGTGTGTAAGTGAAACAGTATATAGAGACCCGACATTGCACCTGAGTCTAGTTTAAATGCTCTAAAAAAACTGTTAAGTAAATTGTAACTAGAGCAAACACTTTCTCCCCCGCGGTGGCTGTTCACACATCAAATAGTAAACTACACCCAAACACAAAATGTGTATATGCCCTCCTCTCTGAAAGACAAGATAAGTAGTTGTAACTAGCTCAAACATTTCCTTCTGGTGGCATGTTACATCTAGACACAGGGAAATAGCGTATCTATCGGCCTGTAAGCCAGTAACTACAAGGTCAAGAAGGAAATGTAACGTTGTCGGTCCACTATTGTCAGTCCACTAGTATATTACATAGAGAGAGAGAGAGAGCCACCTTGTGGCTTGTAATCTCAGAAATGTGTGCGTATGATCGATGCACCCACGTGGATGTAAATCCAGGAGAACGTACTGTTGGTGCATTCTCTGTCGTGCGCATAGATGCACACCTGTTCCAACGTGATCATTTTTCCTTCAGTTTAAACACCACACCAGCTGGAGTGGTATCAAATTAGCCACTGAATATTGCGGGGTTATAATACTATGCGCGGTTGCACGCTCCCGGAAAAGAGCTGTTACATAACCAACCCATAAAATGGCAAAATTACAGGGACACAATTAAAAAAATTATTTTGTAGACTAAAACCAGCCAGACAGCCACACCGTCCAATGATATACTCTCTTTGAATCCACCACCCAAACAAGGAAAAAGCCATAACCCAGTCACCAGCATATATAATTATACTGGATTTGAGTCTAGTCTAGCCTGTGGTGGCTACTGCTGCCCAGAGTCACATCCCCCCAGAGGAAAGAGGAAGAAGAGATCAGTGATGTAGCAGACAATGAAAGTAGAAGCCAAGAGAAGGTGAGTTCCTGTGTTGCCCACCTATTTCCCTTCTCTCTAACCACAGACTGCCCACACATCTTACAAGTTCACACCTACAGCTTCTCCAGTTTGCACTCATGTATACACAATGTACAGCTATGAACCCATTCTAAGAGGACACCTTAGCTCCTCAAAAAGGACATCTTCCTCTCCAGGGGACAGTGAAAATACATGGACACCCCTCAGTGATAAAGACACTTTCTTCAGTCCCTCGATGTCTATAGCTAGTGAACGTGTTGTCTTTTTGGGAAACAACATATTGGGAGCGTCGAACAATTAGTAGAGTTTTAGTTTTGTTTTGGTGATACTTCACCGTGATGCTGAGATGGGAATGTTGGCACTTGCTACGTATGAAATATCAGATACACTGCGCGTGCAGTAACTGTATACATCCCCCGTCCTAAAACTGGCTGAAAATTATTGTGTTACACAAAAGGATTAATTAGGGTATATACATACCATGTGTTGTGAAGGGAAGGTCAGGTGGCTTGGGGTGGGAAAGGGTGTAGTCGAATTGTCGGAGGGAGTCTGCCCGGTGTCTGCAGTGGTAATAGGTGTTTGATGCAGACGAGCAGGGGTTGTGTTGTTCCCATCAGTTGCCGTGGCAATTGATCCATCGGAATGTGGAGTGGTGGGTTCTTTTTCTGAGGCAAGGTCACTGCTGGCCAAAGTCGGACCCAGCTGTTCCGGTTTAGAACTGGTTTGCTCACTAGGGGCCAGCGGCTCTTCCCCAGAATCAGTAGTCACATGAGAGTCACGTGGTGGGTCACGTGACTCAGTTGTTTCTGGAGTCTGTGGATCATTCTCTTCAGTAATTTGGAGCTCCTTCAGCGAACGTGAGGAGCAGAAACGTGTGTAACACTCTATTTAGTGCACACCTCGCTAGAGGGTATAGGTATGTAGTCGGTTTACACGCTTACCCGAGCTTTCTTGGCCGTGGCAGACGCAACAGATTTCTCCTCCTGAGTTTTCTGCTTCAGTTTGGAGAACATTCTCCTCTTTTACCCCCTCCCTCGCTCGTCCCACAACCTTATTCCCTTGACACAGCTACAACAGCCGTAATAAGCGCCCACCAATCACGAGCGTGGTCCCCGTAATGCGCGCTAACATTCAATTGCTACCGTACCGCTGCGCTCCATCGTTTTTCTCAAAGTTCAGTTTTTCAAAGTATTTATGGCTTTGTTAGTGTACACACGACACCTGAATGGTCTGTACACATCGTTTGAAATACAAGACAACTGAAAATCACACACAAGATAAACATAAATCATGTACATGGAACACTGACACACAGTAACAATCAATTGGGTTGAGAGAGAAGGAGCAGCGGATGAATGACCTGATGAAAGTTTTTGAGCCTGTGCTAAAACCCACTAAACTGGTTCGTGGAGAAAACAACGAGAATCTGAGTCACTGTCCCGTGTGCGCTGGATCCAAAAGCGGGTAAGTGAGACGAGAAGTTTCTTGGTGAGTTTACTCCAGTGAGGTGGCCGCCTTGAGCTTTGTGAGAAGGTGCTCGTAGTACATGCGGTCTCGGTTGATTCTCAGCATAGAGGAGGATGCGGAGAGGGAGAGCGTCGTGCATTTATCCCAGAAACCGACGCGGTCCTGCTTGACGAGGAACGGCCGAAGCGGGTAGCTGATTTCGTTGGCATTGTACGTGTACGAGACGTAGAGGCACATGAGCACGAGCTCTTTCACGTCCACGAGCGATGAGATGCGGAACTGCTGGAAGGCGCGGGACAGGAGCATGTAGGTGAACACGACGTGCGATTCCAGTAGGAAACAGTTGACGGTCCACCCGTTCAGTTGGAGGGCGCGATCTGCACACCGGACCCACATCGCTACGTCGGAGGCTGAGGGGATGGTACTGAGGTGGGTGCAGTGCTTCTGAACGTAGGTCCCGAGGCAGCGGAGCAGGTCAGAGAGCGAGTATCGTCTGTCGGGGACCTTCGCGACTGTCTTCAGCGAGGTCGTTGAGGTGGTGGTGGTGGTGGTGGGTAGTTGGGGCTGGTTGGGTAGAGTCTTGGCGCCGCTCGGGATCGCATGGAGGGAGGTCTCTGATTTATCATCGCGTTCTGCAGGGAGCTCATCGTTGTTCAGCTCCTGCTTCAGCTGCTTCTTTCCCTCCTTCTTCCTCTTGTGGATTCGGAGCCGCGCAGCGGCGGAGGTGAGCTTGCGAACGTCTTCGGTGAGACGGGCACGCAGCCAGTTCTTTTCCGAGGCCGACTCGGAGTGGGGAAGGGGCATTTCGACAATGGTACTCATGGTGGTGGCGACAGCAACTAAGTGACCGGCGTTTGCAATAAGCGAGAGAGTGCTTCTCAAGATCGCTAAGAATGCTGGTTAGGGAACTTTCACTGCTCCAGCGAGAACCCGACTGGGCTTTTATACCGCGCGGTCTCGCAATTAGCCGCCCGCGGCGGGGGCGGCGCGCGCACAACGCATAATCATAAACCCGGATTTCCACCTTCCGTGCAATTATTCCTTGCGGTTCACAGTAGCGGAAGTTTCTTTACTCGCTGCGGCCCATGAACCACTCATCTTCAAAGCCTATCACAAGTCGTTAGAAACGTCACAATGCCTTTTTAGTCACCTTCCTACCAACATTACAGGCCAGCAGCACACTTTTAACTCAGCAGCTTGCGACAGCTGCAAAGGCATCATTTTCCTCTAGTCAGTTCCTCTTACCAATGACAGGGTGGCACTTGCAATAGCTGATATAGACGCACACTAAAGCAACTCGCGATCATGCCCTGTGCAGCTAAAGCACACATGTCTCGATGCATTACAACATGTAACAATGTAAATATGTTGCTTAATGCTGTGCATGGGGTGTGTTTATACTTTCAGTTGGACTTTGCAGTGAACATTTACTATGATAAAAGTTGGGACACAAGTTCAATATATGTACATGAAGATCTGCATATGACATGCACTGTCAATGATCTAATATACCTTATTATGCACTTTGTCGACAGTATTAGTCATCAAAGTGTGGTGAAATTATTGCTTCGCATGTGATCTGTCTGTGTTTTTCTTCTCAAGTCTAAAGTAACTTGAACCTGCTGACTTTAAAACATGCAAGTCATGCTACGCAACCTCACGCATGCATGCAGTAAACTAGTGCATTAATAACTGCACTTCTGAGTAGTTTGGACATCTGACAGCATGCAGTAAGCTCGTTCGTCATGGTAACAACGTTTTGTCAAATAGACAGTCGGTTATTAGTCGCTCACTCCTAAAGTCCAAATAATACGAGTTCAGAGTGAGGAAATCACAATATCGGCCATTTCCGACACCAAGAACTAATTCAGGACATCGAGACACACTACCGGTGCCACTATCTGGACACACGCCAAGCCAGCCACTTGTAGTTGTAGGCATTATTAATAATTTGAAAAGTGAGACACATAATTTTTACAAATTGGTTGAAAAATTTAGAGACACAGACTGGCAAATATTATTAATGAATGATACATCTAAGTTTCACTAACACCATCATTGAATACATTGGAATTGCATGAAAAAAGCCGAAATTTAACATGTTATGTCATTTAAACCTGAGTGTTAAACTGGTAAAACGGGTCAGTGGTGTTGTCTGACTGGTTAGAAACTAGCTGAGGGCCAGAATAGGACCATTTGTTGGTTGCTCTGCTTTCGGAGGTAAGGTTTTGCAACCCTGTCTTCCTGAAAATGGAGCTCTTTCTGCTTGCCACCGAGTCGACATGTGAGCGGACTTGCCACCGTCACTTGAAGATTTTTGCCAAACTTCCTACGAAGGGGGGGAGAGAGGAAGTGTGTGTGAGAGAGAGGAGATAAGATTGAAAGGAAAAGAAAGAGATAGGGAGGGGGGTAGGGGGGTAGGGGGGTAGGGGGGAGAGTAAAGTACAGGTTCATGGTTTTCCTTTCCCATTATCCGTTGAATACGGATTGAAAAATAACATGGCATTTCATGAAGTGAAAGTGAGTAGCAATGCTTGTAGTTTACAGAGTGAGTAAGGAAAGAGGAAAGAGAGCGCAGGTCTATACGTACAAAATATAATAAAGGTGGTGCCACATACACGGAAGAAAACGCACGCAGCGTGCTTGAGACAATCACCACGTCTTATTGGTGCAAGGGGGCATAATTAGCCAAATCTACACCTGCCTATGTTTCTATGTACAATGGCAACACTCAATTAAAGAGAGATATAAAGTTACGAACGCAGTTGTTTGTACAGAACATCGTAACAAGCCGGGCACGCGGGGATTGGCAAGCAAACCGTTCGTTCGTTTCATGCGTTCTCGTATCAATCGGACAATCTCCCGTAAAATAACACTCATTACAGCCCACGTGCAAACAACGGCAATTGCCAAGTGAAGTGTTCGTGCAATTACATACGTTTCAGCCCACGTGCAAACAACGGCAAGTGTTCGTGCATGCACTCTCGTATCAAAACACACTGTCTGGCTCTCCGGTAACCCCCTCAGGTAAGGTAAATGTAATATTCACATGCTATAATACATTTCTATACACGATAATAATGTATACTTGTCACAGGCAGTTAGTGGGAGGGTCAGTTCTCGGAATAAATGCCTGAGATTTAAGATTATTTAATTGAGCTTCCACACTTGGGAATAAAGGCAGCGATGTATAGCTGAGATAATACACAATCGTGAGAGAATGGGGAGAGCAGCTGCTGTCGAATATAAAATTGTGGGGAAATTCTAAGCGTTGGAAACTTTAACGAATTCCGCAGTTTAAGAGCCGCCCGCCCGCCTGTGGAAATTGTCGTCATGAAATTCGAACTTGCTGCTAAATCGCAAACACGTTGTTTAATTGTACATTTCACTACAAAACATACGTACGGTGATAGAAGAAAGGACAATTATCCACTAAGAACACTCGGTTCTGCCCCATACTAATACAATGTTCTCTTGCGCAACACAGAGGCAAAATCTTGCGACGAGCTGTGCAATCCCATCTGCACATTTTGTTTGAGTAAGCGAGACCTCTGAATAAGGGACACTTTCCGTCTGTCTCACATTCGGAGGTTCCACTGCATATTAAACCTGAAAACCACGCACAAGTGCAACGACCATGGTTTACTACATACATACATACATACATACATACATACATACATACGTACATACATACATACATACATACATACACACACACACACACACACACACACACACACACACACATACATACGTACATACATACACACATACATACATACGTACATACATACACACACACATACATACGTACATACATACATACATACGTACATACATACACACACACTCCCGTTCACGCCAAGGAAACACCGAGGAATGTAGCTCCAAAAGTAAACGTTTTCCTACGGCCCTTGTAAAGCAATGGTATGTTTTGCAAGCGGGCAAGTTGCTAGCTGAACAGCACATGGGCTGCAACAAACAACACCTCTACCACCTCGGCACATGCCCCGAGGCTGCAAAACACCTGCACATATGAGTGAGCATACGATAACAGAGTCGAGCGGGCGACTAAGCATACGGTGACAGAGTGAGGTTGAAGAGGTGATTAAGCAGACGAAAACACGCCAAGGTTGGAGAGTTAAAAATGTGCCCCGAAAGCATACACAGGAGATATGAGCTGGCGAGTCAGACACAATACTACGGCAGAACAGTGTTACAAATCTGAGTAGATTGTTGCTAAGAAACCACTACAGTTGTCACGGTTACCACCTAGTAATTAGGAGTCCATTTGTGGTCTTGCCGGCTGTTGTTTCATTTGTCAGGCTAAAGGGGCAGTTTGGCTTGGTTAGATAACTTAGAATATGTGGAAGTCAAATTTTCATCCTAGTGCTTGTTCTATCCATCTATCGGAACAGGAACTTAAATATTGATTAGTTGATGAGCAAGTTCTGGCTGAGGAATTTAATGTTATGGCATTCCAATCATAGAGGTAATCAGGGTATTTTGAATGCTATGTATTAGTGAGCCTACAAGGCTATTAATAATCTCAGTGTGGCATGCGAGGAAATGGCTGGACATATAAGGAAAAATCGGAACTGAACATTCCAAAAATTGTGTACAGCTATTAACCCGGTACATGATTAAATTAGTAAGCAGATGTATTTGCCGTAGGTCGAACAGTTACTGGGAAACTAACAAATAGATTTAGTCCTTATCAGTGGGCGTTTGTACTATGCGTGAGAAAGCAGCTAACAAGTAAATATCTTGCACGCATGTACCTATTTCTTCACGCACGCATAATGGAATACTTGGCATGCATGCACCTATTTCACCGCAATTAAAGTTTTGCACATATGGAAGCGACACGCATACAAATTGTGCCGCTCGACCAAAACACAATACGACGTCGAACGTTTGTACCCAAATGAGCAAAATGGAGCCGAAACACATTCCGCATCACGAATCACGCACGAGACATGTTGAATTTGGAATATCGTGCGAACTAGAAACTCCCACGGAAAACTACGTATGTAGAAAGTAGTTAAAAGTCACATGTTCTTTTGGGACCGCGAGTATCTATCTTTAGAAAAAGACGATTCTTAAAACTGAAAGCCAACAATAAAGCCGCAGCTATTTTAACCACAAAGACAAGAGAGTAACAGAAAGCTAAAAGACGTGTACATTAATCATTCCAAGTTTTTGCAGGATATCACACACAATCGACTTACAGCAGCTAACACATACTATCACAAATGATGTGTATTCGTAGTAGATCCTAAGAGTATTACCCGAATGGCTCTGTCTGTATATTATCTCCTAGACACCCTAACTCACAGTATTATACAAACATGTCTGTCTGTTTTATATATAAGCTCCTAGACACCCTTAACACTTAACCAGCCGCGGACACGTAATGTGTCCAGAGCCTCCATAAGTCCATAAGAATTTATATGGGGGTTATAATACTAGGCGCTAATACTTTATACATCAATTTATGCTTATTTAAGCAGATCCCCACGGCGTCCAAAGGGCTTTAACTCACACCATTCGCAGTGTATACAACTAACTAACACTATATAAAAAAGTCTTTAGGTGGCAAGTCAGCGTATTTGATCTTTCCAACGAATGCCGATTGTCACGGTTTCACCAGTCGCCATTGCAACCCAACACCTCAACAATAAAACAATTAACCCTTTCTAGCTGCAATACAACCCCATGAGAAAGCGACATACAAGACCTCACTCCACTTACACGACGCTCTACCACCATATACACTCCTACAGGCCTGAGAATTACGGCCTAAAACACTATACTTCCTGCTCAAGAGTAGTGTTTATACACTTTGCCATATTATATGCGCATAATGTACATTTGTACATACACTTTTGCCATAATTATACACACATACGCATGACCTTCAATAGTAGTGTGTACATTTGTACATACACTTTTGCCCATATCATGCGTGCATACATACGTATGTAGCATTTGACGGCCAGTTCTGTGTGTGCGTGTCTGTATCTATGTATGTCAAATTTCACACCACAGCTTATACACATGACTCTTGAAACGTCCAAATCAATCGTCTTTCGCTAATTGGGGTACTAGAGTTTTGGAGTTTGTGTGTGTGTGTAACTAATTAATGGAAGGGTAACTGTGAGTTTTCGCATAGAAGGTCGTTTTACTATCGTAGCGTTGTTTATAGGACAGGAACGATAGTAGGGACTTTCTCAGGGATGGGTATCGCGCCCTAATTAGTGACGTGTCCTCATTAGGTCTGCCGTCCTAATTAGGGTCAGGTGCTCTAATCAGCAACGTGTCCTAATTAGCATGGTGTGTTCTGATTATCGAGGTGTCCTGATTAGCATGGCGTCCTGATTAGCGATGGTGTCCTGATTAGCATGGCGTCCTGATTAGCATGGTGTCCTGATTAGCGAGGTGTCCTGATTAGCATGGCGTCCTGATTAGCATGGTGTCCTGATTAGCATGGCGTCCTGATTAGCATGGCGTCCTGATTAGCATGGCGTCCTGATTAGCATGGTGTCCTGATTAGCGAGGTGTCCTGATTAGCGAGTGTCCTGATTATCGACGTGACCTGGCACGGAATGAAAAACAATAATCCAAGAACAAAAAATTTGCCCTCTGCCCTCGATACGATCTATAGCCACTTTACTTCAGAAACCAGACACCCCAAGATCCCAAACCAACTGTACCAATAGATCACAGACAGACGGTACATGCCCCATAACACGCTACGCAACATGTCAGACTAGCACACACACACACACACACACACACACATAGACTCTCTCTCTCTCTTCCATGATCAAATTCACCCACACACACAAAGATCACCGACAAATCTCTTAACACGCTAACACGTCTACTTGTCTGACAAACACACATTCTCTGTCTTCCCCGATCAACTAAACTCATACTTAAACACATGTACGTGATATGTTTCAGTCTGGAGGCACAGCAGCAAGAACATGTTCGCATGTAAGAAACACCTAACCCAGTAATCCCTTAACCCTCCCCTCTCTCCCTTCTCTACTCGACTTACTCATATCAATCTTGCCAAGTAGTATGTTTGGCTCTGAATGTACATAAAAACATGATTACATGTCGGAAAATCGCTTAACCCCTCCCCTCCCCTCCACTTTATCTACTCTACTTTACACTCAACTTACTCAAGCATGAAGCTGTATTAGGTGTAAGCAGACCGTTCGCATAAACATCATATAACATACCCACAGGATAGAGAGACCGACAAACCATCGTTTTACTCTCCAATCTTCCTCACTCATCCCCGGCGAGCTAGGCTTACTCAGGCGTGCCGTGCGGTATTAGGTGTGGGTCTGGGTGTGATGGGAGGGAATTTGACAACAAGATCGCATTACCGCCGGCTCTGGGTGGTCTCCAGGCTAAGGGACGGAAGAACGTGAGTGGGCATGACGCGAACTATCCAAACTAGCAACGCAGAGTGTAGTACAGTCTAACTTTCCGATACGTCGTGAATAGCGGTGAGGACACGAGAAATTAGGTTTCCTTTCAGACTTCCATGATCGTGGCAGAGTTTCGACCGTCGTGATATGTACGATGTCCTGTGGAAGTTGAGGAGCAGCTTCGTGGGTGTTGGCACTAATAATGGTGGCATATGTTCATACATACATACTAGTGTAGATTCAAACACACATATGCCTTGTATGGTGGATTAAATCCCTGCCATACCAGCTACATATCTCACCCAAATTTCGCTGTCCCCCCCCAAATAAGGGTGTCAACGATTTTGCATTTGTTGTAGGCACGTGAGTGGAAAAAGAGACAAACCAACTATCCTCGATACTTTGACTAGTGTTGGAGTATGGAATGGTAACATCTTTTATCTTGCTGCACCTATTCCTATCTTGCCCAAATTTTGCGTCCTCCCCTACATGTGTGTCAACGATTTAGCATTTTTTGTAGGCACAAGAGTGGAAAAAGAGGCAAACCAACTATCCTCAATACTTTGACTACAGTTGGAGTATGGAATGGTAGCATCTGGGGCTAACGTGTCTTCTAATGCACACTGTGTGGTCGGTTCAAAGACTTTAGACTGTGCCTGATTCATACGACACGACGACTACGTTGCACACAGGAGGCAAATGGTACATACAGTGTATATACGTACGTTAGGTCACGGCATGCTTTTTGCACAGTTTAGGGTTTAGCGAATGTTCCCAAGGCTTTTAAGTTGCACAAACAACGGGAAAAGCGCTGTATAAGGCGGCTGACACAAGGCGTGCAAGAAAGGAAAAGTAAACGCTTCAATGTTTACAAAACCGCGGGAAAGTATGCGCAAACCGCGACAGTACACAAGGGTCGAGAGCTGCGAAGAGTGCACACAAGCGTCACCGCACGACGGAAACAACGCAAATAGTCACGTCTCCCGGAGCCGTCGCCGTGGCAACAGACCGACGTCCACGGTCGTCTTGGAAACGGGTTCACGCGGACTGGAAGCACTTTCAGTGTTTTCGCGCGACCTCACGCCTTTCTCAGCGAGATGAGAAAACATTCCTGACCGGATCTTATCTCACACACACATAGTATTCATGAAAGTTGTGGCTAAATATTTTAGCAAGCATTACAAGAAAGGAAAGGAATTCCAAGCATGCAAAACTGGACACTCTCGCAAGCTACGAGATAACATGTTTACCAAGAAGAAGAGAAGTTTAAGACAGGGCAACCCATGATTAGGAGGCTAAATTGAGCTTTATCTGGCATAATTAGTAGCGTGTAAACACGACTTGGCAGCTGTCGTTCATGAAAATTTCATGAGTTCCGTCACACTCATGAATAATTCATATATTCTGATGAGTTCCGTAGTGGTTGTGCTATAATCCACCCACAATCGAGTTGTGGGGTGATTCGCCGAGTTCTGCGGGTAAAATCTACTTCCACGTCAGTTCAAATCATAAACCCAGCTGTCGCCTTGCACAGTACAGTGTGACATCTTGTGAAAACACTCCTTGGCAAAAGCGAGCGTTACTCTGAGGTCAGACACAGAGTTCTTGTGAGAGTCCCGCTACATATAGCCAATCAAATTCACCCACAATCTAGTTGTGGGGTGATTTTGCCGAGTTTGGCAGGTAAAATCTACTTCCACGTCAGTTCAAACTGCTGTATATACCGCGTAGCTGGACTGGACCGTAGTCAACGTAACCTGATAAGGTTGCCAAGACAATGACGCTAATTTCGTGAGATCACAGGGGTGTGGCTGTGCGTCACCGGCCAACTGAATCGCATTGCTCCATTCAAGTGCCATTTAACCCCTGCCTTCTCGGAAGCCGATTGATAACCACTCAAAATGGGATAACCTGAACTTCTGGGCAGCAGAGAACCAAAACATGGCACGGGCACTTAACTGTTCTCTGAAACACGTACCGCGATACTTACGGTCACTTCTGGCAGCATGCCCCACCTTTGGTTACCAGTCAATCCCTCCTTTCCCTTGCGTCTGTTACCATTATACTTCCGTCCATCGTCCAAATGAGGATTACCAACCCTAACGCTCCTTATGAATACACTTGTGTGTGTGGGTCTTAATGTTTACCATCCTGATGTACGTACGTATGTATGACGTTAGTTCTAATTAATTGTCAACATCACCCACTACTTGTATCGTAGACATACAGGGCAGAGAGAGAGGGAGAGAGGAGAGGGAGAGAGAGAGAGAGAGAGGAGAGTGTTGGAGGAAAGGAGAGGGTGGGGAGGTAAGGGAGAGTTGGTACAAGGTAAATGGTTCCCGGGGACAAAAAGAGAAGGAAGAGAGAGAGAGAGAGGAGAGGGAGAGAGGTTAGTGTCAGAGGAAAGGAGAGAGGGGGGAGGCAAGGGAGAGAGTTGGTACAAGGGAAATGGTTCCCGGGGACAAAAAGAGAAGGAAGAGAGAGAGGAGAATTGGACAAACAAACCTCTGACAGATCTGGCACAGAACGGCCACGAGCTCAGCCACTCTGTTCTCGTTCTGTGCGGTGACCATGTAGAAGAGAAGGTCCTTCCCTCCCTGAAAGTGTACGATAAAGGCCTGGTCGTGAGACGTACTGATGCTGACTCCTTCGACCGTGGCTAGACTGAGTGGACTCTTCTTTCGTTGGAAGTGCTTGCGAGGATCTAGTTTGAAGATGTTTGTGTCGGTGACTACGATTGCTCTGTCTTGTTGCTTGCACCTCTTGTTTATCTGTGGTTTAATGGAGAGAGGAGAGGAGGGAGAAGGGAGGAAGGGAAGAGATAGAGTGTACGTGAGAGATGAGAGATGAGAGAGAGAGAGAGAGAGAGAGAGAGAGAGAATGTTTCAGAGAGAGAGAGAATATTTCAGAGAGAGAGAATGCAGTGTGTAAAGAGCAAGCATACATCCCATTGTGCCAAACACACACACACACACAACTCGAGCAAACACAAGGAAAAAGTCGTAGACAGACAGTGTGACGTAGGACGTGTAGGGAGCAACAAATCTCCCCAATCATAAATCAGGGAGTCCGAGTTATGTCTGCGACTCAACTCCCACCCCACACCACATGAAATTGTCTCACGAACTTGATACCACTGACAGACAGACACACTAGAGTATTGTTTGACCCAATAAGCTGACGGTAATGCATGCAGTGAGACAGTACTGTATGTTAGGAGCAGAGGTTCAGATGTATGGGATGGGTCTGACAACTCTTCAAATCGACATTAAACTGCAACTCGATAGCCTAGTGTCCTACGCGGCCCTAGCTCCGTAAAGACCAATTTTTTTTCTCTCTGCCTAAAAGTTGGAGTTATTCCCCTCCCTCCCCTCCCCCCTCCTCCCTCTCGTGGACACATGCTGTTTTGTTAAGTGATGTTTACGCATGTAGGTAGCAAAGTTATCTAAAGCCCAGACAAGGAACATTCATTCATTTTCAAAAGCAGGATGGCTGCGTTTACACAAACGCAGGGAAGCAAAACCACTCACTTTTATGGGATAGTGCTTTTCTTGAAAGTGTGCATATATACTGTATATATACGAAATATGGTAATTGTATATACGTACCTTCGTATTGACATGAGTATATATAACGGTTGTTTAGGATTCCTGGCCCATGTTCTAAGCCCCATAAACAACACCAGGTGGGCTTTATGCCCTATAATTGCCTTACATGTACGTATCTAATATGGGCAGGATATCGGCATATGTACAGGTTTGACTGATGTATATATACCTTATGCCCCGTAGTGTGGGTATAATATGTAAATACACCCTCCACACCCTCCCCCTCCTCCCTCCACACCCCTACTTACGTACTAGCTTTATTAAACTAACATGTAAGGATGTGTATATTATATATATACCCACCTTTGTGACAAGACAGGCAAAGAGAACTTTATCGAAGCTGTGAGAGTGACGCAAGTGAGTCAGAGCTGTCTCGAAATCTCGAACATTTGGGTTTTCACTCTGTGCGTAGAAATGAGAGAGGGGAGAGGGAGAGAGGGAGAGAGAGAGAGAGAGAGAGAGAGAGAGAGAGGAGAGAGAAGGATAGCAGAGAAATGGGAGAGGAGAGGAGAGAGGGAGAGAGAGTGAGAGGAGAGAGAAGGATAGCAGAGAAATGGGAGAGAGGGAAGAGAGGGAGAAATGAGGCAAGGAAGAGGGGGAGAGAGGGAGGGGACACATATTTGAACACAATCTCTCAAAACGCCACACAAAGACAACAGAGCATGTGTGCACACAAGTAATCAACTGAATTGGACGGTAGACGCAACAAAAGCAGTCCCATCCTTACCAGATGCGCGGGTTACGCGAACCGCCCTTCCTAGAAACGTGCCCTTCCCTAATCCACACACAATACACCAGACACACAGGTGCTCATATGGAAAACCGACAGCTTTTGAAAGTAACTTTCGCACGGCAGTTTCTAAGGGTGCTCGCCATTGTGTGCGTATGTATGGGGGAAGAATGGATTGGTGGGTGTATATATATACAGTGGAACCTGTGCTCCAGACACGAGGACAACTCTCCACCAGCGGGAAAGTTTCGAGAAAACTGCGTTTAGGTAGTGAACGCAAAATTTTTAACTTTTGCAAACGGAAAATGAACCACATTATTCACCTCGCTCCCTCGAAGCTCTCCTGCCATTTCTTTCCCCAAGAACAGTTTGCTTGCATGCAAATGAATCACATAATTCACCTCGCTCCCTCGAAGCTCTCCGGCCATTTCTTTCCCCAAGAACAGTTTGCTTGCATGCAAATAAACCCCCTGAAGCAAGGACACTTTGGCTAATATGGACACTTTCTTCTGTAGAGGGGTTCCACTGTAACTAAGTATGGTAGTACTTAAGTTAGTACATAGGGATAACACAGGTCATCCTGCATTATGCCCATACATTTGAGGTAATATTTGCTGTATACTGGAGAGGTATATACCTCAAGTGAAGCGTGGGGAAGATGGATTTAACGACCTTATAGTGGGTGGAAGGACATATGTTGGAGCGAGTCACGTAGCCAAAGACAGGGTTATTCTAAGTGGACCAGTGAATGCAGATACACCGGCAAACAGCTGCGTCGCTGTGGCTACTCACACAACCCTGCCGCTGAATACGCAGACTAAGAATAACATTGGTGGCACCCTCACGACATGCTGTTTTAAACGATGACACGCTGCCGTATAATTTAAAGATGTACTAAATTAGGAAAGCTAGGACAAAGGACAGTGCAGGAAAAACATGAACACACGCAGCAAATTTGGACGCAGCGCTCTTTCCGTGACAAAATTTCCTTCTGGGCTGACTCACGCAACACGTTGGAAACTCCTTATATGGCTAGCTACAACGTAACTGTAAAGTGCTAAGATGGGAGAAAGGATAACATTGAAATTCGCTCAATTTCCCAATTAAGATACACTCTTACACCCCCTAACAAGGGTATTGATTTCTCTATAAGGCTAGTTAGGCCTGGGGTTCAAGGAATGGTTTGAGAAATGAATCGGGAATGTATTACACACCACAGTTGTTACCATTACTACATTTCCCTTGCCAGGCATCAATTCAGTATACTTATAAGGGGCCTGGAAATGTGCAAGAATAAATTACTTCGTCACAATGTTACACACTTCCCTTCATTCTGACTTTGATCAGCAACTCTGTATATATAACCCTATATACAGATAAGCATGAGGGTAGGCAGCATGTGTACGTCATATATGTTGGCCTAAGGAATAAGTCTGCAATTCAAAGACACCCTATTATTTTCCTGTATGCACATCCCTTCATCGGCCTTTGATCATCGATAGCTAACTATAGACCTAACGAACCTAACCACAGTTAATGTATGTCACCCTAAGGAAGATGTAAGACACCCTAATAAGGAAGATGTAAGACACACCCCACATTTCCACTGTATGACATATTTCCTTCCGCCCGTTGCTTTGAGCTACCCCATGATTAATTAACACACACATATACCTCTATAAGGACCTGCACAATGCAAGCTAGCCGCGACCGAGAGAGGATGGTGTAGGAAGGATATTAAACAGGAAAATTTATTCCCGGTGACGTTTCTGATTTAACCCCTCACCCACTGCAATACATGCCTCCCAGCATGCCAAATTTAACCCCAATATCACATGACATGAAACTCTGCGGTGATGCGTAATGCAACATGTAGTGATTTAATGCTCTTGGGTGCATAATGCAATATGTGGGCAACACTATACTAGGCTCTCTGAGAGGGTCTGTGTGAATGTCCAGCAGGTGTCCACGTGGTAAGAGTATCGGGGAATAGCAATAGAGAATAGAAGCAGCTGCCTCGCGGCATGACTTGAGACTGCACCAGACATAACCAAGCCAACCGCACATGCCCCCTGCACATGGCAACTCACACACAGGCACCGTCGTTTTCCGCACCGTTAACTACCACCCTTTGGTTCCCACGGACACCGCTACCGCAGTAAACACATTACATCGCCGGCATTTCAAAAATCCCCACCCTACTATACTGTCAGTGCAGCATGCATGACAAAATCTACACTATTGATTAGTCTGTTAGCCCTACAACAAGTCAGATTATGTCGTTTATGTCGATATATGGAAGTGGTATTTCCACATTAGCATGTGTTAGTAACTACAGTAAGTATATAAAGTGTGTATCACTAAACTTGTATAGGAAGGTAATGTATGGGTGTACATAGGAAGTACATTAAAGTATGGATTCTTATGGAGGGTGTGTGTGGTGGAATAGGAAACTATGTGACATGCATGTGATGTGGAAATTAGGAAAGTCAGACTGCGTAACCAGGAAGTACAAACACTCTCTGCCATAATGTGACCCTCATGTGCCTTCGTAGCCATAGCAATAAACCAAAACGTTTCGATAAACATGTGCAATAATAAACACAAAGCGTAAGTGAACCTGTTTAAAGCTGACCTTATTAGCGCACACCAGTTAAACTCCATACATCTAGTATGATGCTAGGTATACCACCCTCTTCCTTATGTACTAAATACTATAACTTAGTGATACATACGGAACGCAAGAAGGTGCAGTAAGTAAATTAAGCACAAGCAGCTAAAAATAAGCACAAGCAGCTAAAAATAAGCACGAGCGGCTAAAAATAAAAACGCGCGGCCAGTCACACGTGTGGCTAAAAATAGGCAAACCAACCAACCTACCTGAAGAGTGAGGTAGTTTCCGAACCATTTGCGGTTGTACCCCCATTTCTCTCTCCTGTGGCTGAGGGCTCCGTAGGCAATGGCCTTCAGCTGAACCTCGGGCCGGTCCCTCACCGGGATACGCAGCAGTATAACCTTTGCTCTCCATCTGCAAAGATTAGTGGGGAATAGGGTTAAATTCATTATCGAGTTGGGTGGGTGAAATAAGGTATGCAGTGGAACCCCTCTCTAAGGACACCCCTGGAAATGAGGACAACCTCTCTAAGGACACCCTGAAATGAGGGACACCTCTCTAAGGAACCCTGAAATGAGGACACTCTCTCAAAGAACCTGAAATGAGGACACCTCTCTATAGGACACCCCTGAAATGAGGACACTCTTCTAGACACCTCTGAAATGTAGGACACCTCTCATAAGGACCCCTGAAATGAGGACACCTCTCTAAGGACACCTCTGAAATAAAGGGCACATCTCTACCCATTCTCAACAGTTTCTTGCAAGCAATTTGAAATAAGGACGCCTCACTAATACGGACACTTTCTTCTATCCCATTGGTGTCAGGATTAGAGGAGTTCCACCGTATAATGCTCAGGACACCTCACTAATATGGACACTTTCTTCTGTCCCATGGTGTCCAGATTAGAGGAGTTCCACTGTATAATGCTCAGGACGCCTCACTAATACGGACACTTTCTTCTGTCCCATTGGTGTCAGGATTAGAGGAGTTCCACTGTATAATGCTCAGGACGCCTCACTAATATGGACACTTTCTTCTGTCCCATTGGTGTCCAGATTAGAGGAGTTCCACCGTATAATGCTCAGGACACCTCACTAATATGGACACTTTCTTCTGTCCCATTGGTGTCCAGATTAGAGGAGTTCCACCGTATAATGCTCAGGACACCTCACTAATATGGACACTTTCTTCTGTCCCATTGGTGTCCAGATTAGAGGAGTTCCACCGTATAATGCTCAGGACACCTCACTAATATGGACACTTTCTTCTGTCCCATTGGTGTCCAGATTAGAGGAGTTCCACCGTATAATGCTCAGGACACCTCACTAATATGGACACTTTCTTCTGTCCCATTGGTGTCCAGATTAGAGGAGTTCCACCGTATAATGCTCAGGACACCTCACTAATATGGACACTTTCTTCTGTCCCATTGGTGTCAGGATTAGAGGAGTTCCACTGTATAATGCTCAGGACACCTCACTAATACGGACACTTTCTTCTGTCCCATTGGTGTCAGGATTAGAGGAGTTCCACTGTATAATGCTCAGGACGCCTCACTAATACGGACACTTTCTTCTATCCCATTGGTGTCAGGATTAGAGGAGTTCCACTGTATAATGCTCAGGACGCCTCACTAATACGGACACTTTCTTCTATCCCATTGGTGTCTGGATTAGAGGGTAGTATAGACAGTAAATTGGGTTGTGCGGGAGAACGAAACATGATTTGTGGTTTCAAGTACATGTGGTGGTTAGGGGGTTAATTGGAATTGTGTGTAGTAGGGGGGTTAAACTGAAACTGGCTAACGAAGGTTAAGACTCCAGGGGTTAAAGTAAACACGTGGGAACTGAAAGGTTGAGGAATCTGAGGAATCTGATGAAATTTCATTGGCATCCGATCAAGGATCACAGGGGGTTAAATAACATATGGTGGGAGGGAAAGGGTTAAGAGTTTAGAGCACGTTTCCACTTCCTTCACTTGTTTACATGGCGTTTCAGCTGAGACGGTGTGTACACATGAAATACAACACCTGTTTTTGGCATAATGATAATCACTGTTGTGCGAAGCCCATCTACAACACGTCCCTAACAAAAAACGTGTGTCCTTTTGAAAGACAAAACTTGATAGAAACCTGAATATACATTTGTACACAAGCCGGAATAAGGAAGCGTGAGACACAAGGTCGTGGGGGACACCTAGAAGTGATTACCACGGAAACCTGCGCTCGGCACCTCCAGAAATTAGGACACCTGTCCTGAGGACTTTGTCGAAGACAAAACAGGTTTTTAAAAACGTGATTAGAGATGTGTACAGATGGCGTCCCATTAGGTCACGACAGACGAGGCTAGACAAACACTCACTCACTCACGGAAAACGCCGACAGTGAAACTTGTTACCATAACACGCCGCGTCGAAACTACAGCGCACTGTGTTACGTAACCTCCACACCTACCATATGGTGCCACGGGGCTAGACAAAACGATAGTGCGGCCAGTATCGAATTCAAACCTAAGTGATCCCATCTTGTTCTTAGTTTTCTGGAGAAGTCAAAACACCAGGTGACGACTCAATGTTTGCCCTACCTACAGCTTAGTCAGCCGCGTGATTGCGCAACCGTAAATAGCCAGGTTTGTGCATCTGCTGATTGCTAGGCGGGGCTGTAATATCGCGTGCAGCGAGCACGCTTTAAGGCTGGCTCAGAAGGGAAAACAGACAGCAACTGCCATCTGTATATTTGGCTAGCTTTGTCAATCACCGATACACATTACATCGTGTTATGCAACCAGTTGAGACTGAATCACAGTACTGCCATATTGTGACATGTAGTTTCTCCAGTATAATAATGGTTATAGTACAAGTGTGTGTCTGAAAGGGGAGGGAGGGAGGGAGAAGGGAGAGAGAGAGAGGGTGTGTGTGTGTGAAAGGGGAGGGAGAGAAGGATGAAAGGAAAGAGAGGAAAAGTTCTGTGAGAAAGCTGAATTGAAGGAGGGAGTGGAGAGTACAACAAAAGCAAAGGGAAGGTCCGAACTTCACTCAAACACACACATATGCTCCCTTACAAACCCCATATGTCCTGCTTCTTTTCATATCCCCCGCCCCACCACACAGAGTCCAGGGGAACACACAACTCTCAATTGAACAGGCATTTCTCACGCCACTTTTGGCCGGTGCTCATTAGGGAGGGCTCTGTGACAATGGCCACGAGTCTTTGGTGTGGCTGGCCTGAAGCGCGGAGGTAGGTTAGGGTTGAGAGGGTTGCGATGTACTCCCACGTGAGAACCCGATTGCTCAATTTGGCTCGCGGAGGGAAAGGCTCAGTGGGACGTGGCGTGGGTGAAACATGACACACTTAGGGTGAGCTTTCTGCTCTTCATTAGTAGAGTAAGAGAGGCTTGGATGGGATGCTATATAGTGGAACCTTTGTCTAAGGACACTCCTGAAATGAAGACACCTCTCTTAGGACACCTCTGAAATGAGGATACCTCTCTAAGGAAACCCCTGAAATGAGGACACCTCTCTAAGGACACCCCTGAAATGAGGACACCTCTCTAAGGACACCCCTGAAATGAAGGCACCTCTCTAAGGACACCCCTGAAATGAGGATACCTCTCTAAGGAAACCCCTGAAATGAGGATACCTCTCTAAGGACACCCCTGAAATGAGGACACCTCTCTAAGGACACCCCTGAAATGAGGGCACCTCTCTAAGGACACCCCTGAAATGAGGACACCTCTCTAAGGACACTCCTTAAATGAGGACACCTCTCTAAGGACACTCCTTAAATGAAGACACCTCTCTAAGGACACCCCTGAAATGAGTATGCATCGCTTTTAAGGAAACCTCTTCTTCCCCCAAGAACAGTTCTTGCATGCAATTGAAATTGCACGCAAGAACTGTTCTTGGGGAAAGAAAGTTCTTATTAGAGAGGTGTCCCCATTTCAGGGGTGTCCTTAGAGAGGTGTCCCTCATTTCAGGGGTGTCCTTAGAGAGGTGTTCTCATTTCAGGGTGTCCTTAGAGAGAGGTGTTCCACTATAGTTAACACTGAATATACAGCAGTATGAACTTTAATCAGAGCATCAAACCACCATGCAAAACGTATTGATCCATCAATACACAATTACTCTGTACAACGTTCTGTACATGTGCACCGCTGTACTTAGCATCGCCACTTCAGATGACAAAGAAGGAATCATTAATGCTCACTGATCGAGCCACAAAGGACGGAACATGTGTGTCCACCCGACTAATTGAATACCACGGGAGAGTAACTAGGGCTAAAAGGTGAAACAAAACCACAATACCTGAGGGAGCTGGACGCATTAATCACATTAATATAACGCCCACTTTTGCTGCCACATTTGCCAGGCTAGCAGAGGGCTTGCCTGGGAAAATGTTAATGCACAATACGGTGAGAAAGGGACAGCTTATGGCAAATTCACACGAAGTGGAACCCCTCCCTAAGGACACCCCTTAAATGAGGACACGTCACTAACAACGACACCTTCCCTCCAAAAAAACAGCTCTTTCACAGATGAAATAAGGACACCTCACTAATATGGACACTTTCTGTTGTCCCATTGGTGTCCGGATTAGCCACTGAAAGTTCATTGGTTTAGTGGCCACCTAATCACGCATAAACCGTCAATAATTTGGATTGTTAATCACGGAAGGAAAACACTAGTTACACAACGGAAATTCGTACAAGGGTATAGGAGGCAAACCATTATACATCTGCCTGTACAGGTAATTATATTCATTGGGTTGTGTCCCTATGCCAATGTTCCAGGAAACAAGGAAAAGTAGGAATGATCATGTGTAGCTGATCATGGGTGGTTGGTTGACATATCCATCTTTCTTTTTCCTTCTCACCCTCTCTCCAGTTTCCCTATTACTCCCTTCCTCTCCTCTCTCCTCCTCTCTCTCCCTTCTCTCTCTCTCCTCCTCCCTCTCCCCTCTCTCCCCTCTCCTGTTGTATACATCACCTGCCTTTTTCCCCTCCTATCGTGCTCCTACTTCTCCGTCTTTCCGCATAGCTCCCCCCCACACACACACATGCACACACACATACGTACCTGAAGTCTAAGGGGGTTAAAGTAGGCCAGACAGACTTTCATCAAAGTCCACACTCACACACAGACATTAATGTCACTATCAACCAAATTATACCAATACCTTCGTTCAGTGTCACCTTACAATCCATCCACTTTCCCAAATGCACCACGGACGCACATTAATTTCCCACATGAGGTATCGATCATTTCATTTTTTAATGATCACCCAAGATTACACGCACTTCTATATGACCTTTTAGTGTCTTATTCAGCTGTGGTAACATGTGTCATCGTAAAGGATGCCCCAAGGAAAAATGCATCACCTAGACAACATTCCGCGTTAGTGACAAATTAAAGTAGATCACGTATGTTCATAGCATTCATATCCGTTGGGTACCATGTTGAAAGTGAACTACATTACATAGCTTGATAATTAGCTGTGGTAGTTGCGTTTGTACCTGCACACTCTTATACGATTGAACATCTCTCTAAGGACACCCCTGAAATGACACCTCTCTAATAAGGACACCTTTACTTCCCCAAGAACTGATCTAGCCCGAGCATACACAATACTATTGACACTTTCTTCTGTCACATTGGTGTCCAGAGATAAGCCCACAAATCATCAGCATGGAGTTGATTACGTAGTTGTGAGCTAGAACATAAACCGATTTTACAAAACCATATATAGAAAGGATCATAAAGTTGAGCGACACTTGATAATGTTCAGCAAGCTTCAATTAATATCTAGTAGCTAGGTAACACGTCACGCGCGAGCTTCCTGAAAAACAAGGTCAGGGTTCGTGTAAACTCAACGATTACTTCTGCAACACAACACGATATGAACGTACGCTTGAACTACAGAGTTATGTGAGGTGTAGCAATAATCATTGCACGTCACGAAATGCTAATAACGACCTCGTATGAGAAATACAAGTAGAGTATGACACGACCGGGGTTTATATGTAATTTATAGACCACGTTCACAATAGATCACCCGCCAACGACTTACGCACTGTCAAAACTGTCAAAATCACAGTTCCACATGACTCAACGAGAGGTTATTTAAACTTTTAGCGGCTCGTGCACTGTAATAGCTGTCACATAGCACGCAACCCAACGCAATAGACGAAAGGTCTGCCGCGACAAAGGAAAAGGTTAAGAGTTGCGTAAATGACATATAGACCTCCGGTTAGATAACGCACTGTAATAACTGCCACATAGTACACAAAATACCGATCATCAAAAGGTGATAGTTACACAATTCACAAGGAAATGTGTCCTTTTCAAGGTGACAAAAGCATGTCGGTCCTTAAATAATCACACAGTTATCAAATTGTATTTTTGGGTGAATGAGACACAGTGAAGAGGACTTGTGCATGGGGAGAAGAAAAATGGAATTTAGATGCAGTGGAACTCCTCTAATCCAGACACCAGTGGGACAAGAGAGAAAGTGTCCATATTAGTGAGGTGTCCTTGTACTACAGGGGTTGAATTGCATGCAACAACTGTTCTTGGAGGGGGTGGGGGGTGTCCTTGTTGGAGAGGGGTCCTAATTTGTCCAACGTCATTCTGACGATTGTTGTCATCTCGATACCTACCCTCGCATGACTGCACTAGAAATTCTTGGGACACACACAAAGCATATAAAAACAAATTTTGCTCCCACAACAAAATCCCATCCCCCCCAACAAATTTTACCGCACACACTCAGGCTAGTTTTGATAACCCTGGAAATACCAATTACGTCATCCCCATTGAGAAATGGGCGGCAGAGTATATACACGCGTTGAAACACTGTAAACAGCTGCCAGCGATGTCACGGAAACAGTTCAGTCTCACTCCCACTCCCACTGTCGGGGGATTATTTCATTCCTTGTCCTCCCCTCTCCCGCCCTAGCTACAAAACGGATGTCTTAAAAAGCACTCCCAAGGTGTGCACGCAAACATAGACCACCGGAAAGTAAGGGAAATATCAAGTCTCTTACACTCCTTCTGTCGGGGATTATTATCCTCCCTTTCTTCCCACTAGCGCTAGTACAAATGTCTTCTTAAAAAAGCTGTTGACATAAACACAGTCTACTCTAGACCACCGGAAGGTAAGGGACATATTTCCGTCTCCCACTCGCGCGAATTATTCCATGACTCATCCTCCCTTTCTCTCCCCCCACTAGCGTTAGAACAGACGTCTGTAAAGTAGTGCATGTGTGCGGCGATAAAGCAATAAGCAACAATTTCTAGAAAACAATGAATTGGTTTATGCTCATCATCCCCCTGGCCTCAGAACGGATGCCTTGCACGAGTGTGTGTGTGTGTGTGTGTGGGGAGGAAGGGGGAGGGGGGTAAATATCCCCCGAGGGACCACGTGTACACAATTTCATAAATGGGAAGAGAACTTTGTTTATAGAGAAAAGAAAAGAGGAGAGGAGAGAGGGAGAAAGAAAGTTTTTCTCTCCAACATAAAAGTTTGCCCTCTCCGGTATGCTATATAATAATTATTACCTGGCGTGGATTTGCTGAGCGTAAGTCACAAATTTTGTGAGAACGGGAGGTGGTTCGGGCCACGGTATCGACTTTCCGAGATCCGGCATCGAAGCCACACCCCTTTAGATGATTGTGTGTGTGTGTGTGTGTGTGAGATGAGAAGAGTGATAGTGGTAAAATCATTCTGAAAGTGAAACTAACCGGAAGAGAGTGATGATTCGGTGGACGAAGCTCTTCATCTTGTATCGTCTGTAGTAGGCAATCACCACTTCGACAGCTTTCGTCTTTTGTATTCTTCTTCTAACCAAGAATCCTCTTGTGAACTGCGAAGAGAGGAGGGAGAGGAGGAGGAGGGAGAGGAGGGAGAGGAGGGAGGAGGAGGGAGGAGGAGAGGAGGAGGAGGAGGAGAGGAGGGAGAGGAGGGAGAGGAGGAAAGGAGGGAGGAGAGGAGAGAGAGGAGAGGAGGGAGAGAGGGAGAGGAGGGAGAGGAGGGAGAGGAGGGAGAGGAGGGAGAGGAGGGAGAGGAGGGAGAGGAGGAGAGGAGGGAGAGGAGGGAGAGGAGGGAGAGGAGGGAGAGGAGGGAGAGGAGGAGAGGAGGGAGAGGAGGGAGAGGAGGGAGAGGAGGGAGAGGAGGGAGAGGAGGGAGAGGAGGGAGAGGAGGAGAGGAGGGAGAGGAGGGAGAGGAGGAGAGGAGGAGAGGACATAATCTCATATTATACAATACGAAGCCCTTCTAATCTGTATATACATATAGACTAATGTGACAGAAGAAAGTAGTTAAGGTGTCCTTATCAAATTGCAACTGTTCTTGGGAAAAGCAGGAAAGAAAAGGTTCCCTCATTTGCAGGGTTGTCCTTAGAGAGAGGTTTGCAGGGTTGTACTACTGTAGATGATGCTATGTTGAACACAAGGTGTAACTATATTAATGGGGCTTAATAGGATGATGAAGATAGGTAGTCTTTCGATGAGAAAGAGAGGGAGATGGGGAAGTGAGAAAGAGGTGGGAGAAGAGAAGAGGAGAGGAAGGAGGACAGACAGACAGACGTCCAAAAACAACATTATTTCCCAATAAACCAGTTAGTATAATAACAAGCCCACAATGTCAGCAACAATAGAGGTTAATCTAATCTCATTCAAAGTCTAATTTGATAAGGAAATTCGGCTCCATTCAGTCTAGATTAGTCGTGAATACAAACTATTCACATTCACCCATCCTACACACGCCGGCCGCAATAGACGGAAATATCGACTGTCTGGCGTGTAACGTTAGAAAGAAAGTAGTTAATCTGGAAGAATGGAAGGAATTCCGAGACCTTCCCAAATTCAGACGAGATTTTAAATTCTCCGCTGTGTGTTTACCGTTACCATGGTGATGGCACACAGCACCTCGTGCTAGAGTATCCTCCCCCCATGGACATGTGTACACCAACTAACATCAAGATCTGGCAGGAATGATAGGGTTTAATTTAACGCACATGACCTTCCATTGCCCTATAGGGTCTTAACGTGTACAGTTCTCTCTAAGAACACCACTGAAATGAGGACACCTCTCTAATAAGGACACTTTCTTCTGTCCCATTGGCATCTGGATGTGTTTCTACTCTAAAAAAATACTATTTCTCCCTCATAAATCTCTATTTGAATAATGAATCTACCAGTTACCCTCAGTTAAGTTAGTCCAAGCTGCTAAAAAAAGATCTCCACCCAAAAAAATTTTTAGAAAACTTTGACAAAAGGTTTGTCAGTGCGGCGTAGAACACTCACTCTCTGGATGGTTGTGACCACGTAAGGCAGCTGCCTCACTCTCTCCTGCTCCAGAAAGGTCAAAGTCTGCGGGCTCCGAATAAACACCTTGGTCCTCCCGTACGCCACGTCGCCCGCCAGGTTGTGGTGGTTGCAAATGACCTCCGTTGCCTGCGTCGCGTTTCCACGGTAACTGGGCCAGGTGTCCCGGCATATCAACTTGTACCTACAGAATCAAAAAACATTCTTTTTTATTAAGAAAAACTCACAACAACTACACCACAAAGTCTAGAAAACGGAGAACAAACAGGAGAACGATAAACCACACAGCCACTAAGCACCACGCTCAGACGAAAGGATCACACAACATAAACTCTCAAGGATTAAGAGCCAACAACAAAACAAACAATTAGAACCCCCTATACGACCACCAACACACGGGACAGAGATAAAAATGAATCACCACGGCGTAAAAGACAGTAAAAACCAAAATATAACTTGACGAACTAACACCCACCGAGAAAAAAACAACAGAGACGAAACATCCAAACAATACATAACAACTCGAGAAACGGCCAGAGAAACTACTACAAGAAACAGACACCAAAAACTGCCCAGAAGTACAGGTTATCTAAAAAAATTCAACAGATCGCATGACACTTCCATAAATTACATCAATTACAACTGAGATAAAGGAGCATAATACAAAAACCACCCATAGAAAAAAACTCAACAACCCCAAATTTAAATCATAGTATAGGGGAAAACCTATTGAGAGACCAACTTCAAACAACTTACGACCAAACCTCGGCAAAATATCAGAACAGAAATATACCATAAATATCCGGAGATAATGAGCGAGCGAAACACAATAAAGAACAAGGGGTAGACTAAACAAGACCATAACTACAAAAAAGAAAACCAATCAAAACCGACAAATGGCGTGAGAGATAAGCTGCAACACAAAAAACCAATAGAAGAATAAAAACACGAACAGAAAAAAACCACACAACCATAAAACCCGAAACAGTTGCAAAGGCGTTTCGGAAAAAAAAGAGACAAGAGTGAAAAACTTAGAAAATAAGCAAAAATGAGAAGGATAAATAAAAAACTATCCCATCAAAAAAGAGAGAATAAGGAAGAATAGAAGGAGAACACTAAAAAAAAGAAAAAAAAAAGAAAGAAAAAAAAAATCCAAGGAAAAACAAAAAAAAAGGAAAAAAAAAAAATATTAAAAAAAAAAAAGAGGTAAAAAAAAATAGAGAAAGAGGACAACGAGAATAAAAAAGGGAAAAACTAGAAATTTAAAAAAAAGAGAAAAGGAGAAAAAAGAAAAAAAAAAATTTAAAAATTAAAATGTAAAAATTAAAATAAAAAAAAAAAAAAAAAATAAAATATATATCCCGTCTCCTCTTATGCCCTCTCATTCCTTACTACCAGTTCTATTCCTAATTTTACCGCTGATTAACACATTTTTATTTTCGGTTCGTACTTCCTTTTTTTAGTTTTTTCGTGGTTCGGTTGTTTTGCAATCCATCTGACCCTCTCTTGATATAGTCTCTATTGTCTCTTTCACATGTACAAGATTACTGACTGGTGGTTTGTGTTTTTACGGTGTGATTTTATTTTATGGAAATATGACCAATTGTGTTTTGTTGATATGTTGGGACTTTAAACCCCCACTCTTCCCCCTTCTCTATGTTTGCTTTCTTACTAAGTATACTAAACTAGAGTGGATACTTTGGCAACACCGCCTCCTCTTTTTTTCTCATTATCTAGTCTTTCATGAATTTTGTTCGGGGGTAGGTTGAATGCTTTCTCACCTTGGCTCCCCCCAGTATTAATGCATGCATTAAGATACACTGTTCTTTTGTGGAAATGAAAACTGTGCATTCATTTCATAGCGCGGTTTTTTGGTCCATTTTGGTTTCCACGGAGCCGCTCCCCCAATGTTGTATCCACTTTTTTTTACCGATTTCTGGTGTGATGGCATCTATTCCATCGTTTGAATCTTGACCGGACGATTCAAGTTTCAGGTGCGGTTGACACACCTTCACGTTAGAAATGGGTTATTTCGTCTGCCAGTTGTTTGGTCACCCACCTTTTCTTTGGATAAAAATTTCGATCCTCCCTTGATCTGACAGGGCGGTTTTCGGTTTAAACAAGTTTACTCAACGAACTCTCGAAAGGTTTCTCAAGAGGTCAACTTCTGCTAAATAAGGGGTGTAGATTTTTTATAGTGATTGATTCAATAGTATTCTATGTGATCTTTTCTTTAGTGATATTTCCTTCTTTTAGTTAGTGGAGAATGCTTATGGGAGGGTTTCTTTTTTTAGAATTGGGACTTTTTTATACCTGTTGAGTTGATGGACTCGGTCTCTTTTTTATCCTTGGAGCTTGCCCTCCCCCTCCCCCTTCCCTCTTCGTATCTCTCTCTCTCTTGTCTCCTACTCTCTTCTACTCTCTCTCTCTCTCTGAGTCCACTCCTTACACTATGTACAGTAAACACAATAGGTGACGGGTGTTTTCCAGCAATACGGTATCATTCTGTATAGTTAGCATGCTTGCCATATAAAATATGATTTATAATTTGGAAGGTTGAATATCTTGGCATAGTGCGAACGGGGTAAATATAGCTATCTCTCATTTTTGACGGTTTTAACCAGGGTTTTATTAATAAGTCCATACAGGCGTGTTGTGTTTGGTAAAGCCGGATTTACAGGATACGTTACAATAAACATGTTCCTGTGCACAGTCCGATTCGTTTACGGTATCTTTGTGACTTCTGTCAATGCCTGTGCTCCCTCCGGCCACATGGCCTTCAGCAGCTTGTGATCACTGTAAGAGATCATGTGACGGTCATGTGACGGATCATGTGATCCCGATGTGACCTCTGACCTGTTGTAGAGGAGTCTCTTGAAGTCCTGGTAGATTGGGTCCTTGTTCTTGTCAATGAAGCCGGTCACAATGTATCTGGAGGAGGAATGGGAGTAGGGGGTATGGGAACCGCCGTTTGGAAACATGGGAGAATGGGAACCGGCATTTGGAAATGTAGAAGAATGGGAACCAGAGTTTTAAAACATGGGAACATGAGAAATACACATGGCTGCAAGAGCAGTTGATGCTGAACAATTTACAAAGGGTAAGGGGAAAATCTGGAAATGGAAGCACGGATGACTGTGGTATGAGAATATGGAAACGTGGGAACGTGACATACACGACGTCCCCGGCGTAGTGGCGGACGACAAAGTCGCGGTCTCTCTCAAGATCCTTGGCCTGCAGGTCCACCTGTCGACTGGAGTAGTGGTCGTGACCTTTGAACTTCTCGTCCATCGCCGTCAGGAAATGCTGCATAGAGACATTCATACTATTCAAAAAAACTCAGGGGGAAACGGGTTAAATTCACAGAGAAATGAAAGGGTAAAATATGTAAAAGCCAAAAACCTCAGGGGGAAACGGGTTAAAAGTCACAGAGAAATGAAAGGGTTTTAAAGTAGCTAATAGCCTGTTCTAGGGGACAAAAAATTCAGGATTGAAAATTCGGGGGTAAGAAAGTTGAATTATAGCAGAAGTAAGAGGGTTAATTAAAAGTATATCGGTAAAGGGTTAAAGAATTGGAGGAGTGAGAGGGTTTTAATGACCATGTCGGTGACGGTCCCGACAAGGAAGCAGGCTTCGTCGAGAAGAGCAATGATTCCAGTACGAGGAGCCTCGACCAGGTCACAGATGACACGGTTGTTGAAATAGTCAATCTGGAGGGGGAGGGGGGGAGGGGGGCGGAGGAAGGGGGAATGAGCTTTGTTCGCCAGTTACGAGGGAGTTAATGTCATAACACCCCCACACCGATGAACTACAGTGGAACCTCCGATAAGGGACCCTCTGAGATGTAGGGACAACCTTTCTGCAAAGGACACTTGTTTCAACCCCATGCTAATACTTTAGTGTACTATTTAACCTCCGAGATAGGGACGACCTCTCTACAAGGCACAAAACCATTGGCCCCAAAGTGTCCCTTGTTCGGAGGTTCCACTGTACAAACTGTACACAAACCTACCTGGACCCACTCGATGCCCTCTCTCATGTACTCCTCTTGCTCCTGTTTCAGAACCAACTCAATGAACAGCTGCTGCAGCTTCTCATTGCAGTAGTTTATACACAGCTGCTCAAAACTAGTGAGAGACAATTTACGAACAAATTACTTATGTAGGCTAAACATTTCGTACTTTTAGTAAGCATGTGGAAGGAAGGACAGGCCAACCAACAATCCCGAATATCTTGACTATAGCTGGAGAGTGCAGTGCAATCATTGTCAAAAATGGGTGTGGCTTAAACTTTTCGTACTTTTAGTAAGCATGTGGAAGGAAGGACAGGCCAACCAACAATCCCGAATATCTTGACTATAGCTGGAGAGTGCAGTGCAATCATTGTCAAAAATGGGTGTAGCTTAAACTTTTCGTACTTTTAGTAAGCATGTGGAAGGAAGGACAGGCCAACCAACAATCCCGAATATCTTGACTATAGCCGGAGAGTGCAGTGCAATCTTGTCAAAAATGGGTGTGGCTTAAACTTTTCATAGTTTTAGTAAGCATGTGGAGGAAAGGACAGGCCTACCAACAATCCTGAATATCGCTGGAGAGTGCAGTGCAATCTTGTCAAAAATGGGTGTGGCTTAAACGTTTCGTACTTTTAGTAAGCATGTGGAAGGAAGGACAGGCCAACCAACAATCCCGAATATCTTGACTATAGCTGGAGAGTGCAGTGCAATCATTGTCAAAAATGGGTGTGGCTTAAACTTTTCGTACTTTTAGTAAGCATGTGGAAGGAAGGACAGGCCAACCAACAATCCCGAATATCTTGACTATAGCTGGAGAGTGCAGTTATTATGTCAAGTCTGTCAAAAATACGAGGCGACACAAAAATTTTATTTTTTGCACCACCAAACCTGTTGATCTTTATGTTACGAAGATTGCTCGCAGCGTAAATGTCCGAGCACAGCCAATGACTGTGTAGCTGTCGAGTGTCTGCGCTGTGGACAGAACTTTCGCAGGTGATGTTGAATCTGGATTGCACACCATGTGAAACACGTGTCTCTTTCGTACATGCGCTGGGCGAACGTGGAGTATAATTTCTAGTGAATAAAATACCTATCCGAGAAGGGACCCTCAAGATAGGATGATCCCTCTTACAATTGCGACACCCCATGGTAATACTGTGAGTGTATTATTTGACATCCGAGACTAGCATGTACCTCTCATACAAGGACTACTGGTGTTTCAACCTTCCTGCTCTCGATGCTAATACTTTAGACATTGCCGACATAGGTGCACGAATTACTTTTTCCTCCTACAAGGATAATACGTTGGTTCATAGTGTGCCTTGTGCCGGAAGTCTTAGTGTGTACTAAGTACGAGAGGAAGTGGCGCCTGCCGCGGAGTATCATACATAGCTTTAAGCTGTCCCGGTCAATACAGATGAACACCCTCTGTTTAAAGACACGCTGAGACCACGAAATTACTTTTTTCATACGCTTGATTGGTTTCGTGCTGTGCTTAGAAGGTCTGAAATGAAACACAAAAAGGTTGTGAGAAATGGTTTATGATTAAAGTTTTTCCTCATCAAGTTCATTAACTGCCTTCATTTTTTTGCATAAACTCTCAATGTCCTTCCGTTTGGCCTATATACTAACTACTCATTGAGGCAAAACTTTTGCAAAAGCGTACTAGGACGTATCAGCCTGCCCCCTTGTGGTGTGAATCTTCTCTCAACAGCAGAATT